CCCCCGTCGTTGTCATAAAAGCACACCCCCCCCCCCCAATTTAAACATAAATTGATTTTTCTATTGTTAACCCCTTAGAAAACTTAAAACTTTATTCTAATTTTAAAGCAATCTTAGCTATTAAGCTTAATCTATACACTATTTAACACAAACATCTATACCACCTCACTGAAATGATTTTCACGCGTTTGCTATATATAAAGGACTTTTTTTCCCCACACAAATTTCTCCTATCCCCTCCAGCTATTGAGCTTTATATAGCAACCAGTTTCACTTCAGCTTTTTAACAATGAAAATACAGAGTTGGAGTTCCACGGTTCTGTCAGTATCATTCATAACTGAGCTCTAACATAAACTCTTCCAGCTTATTTTCTAAAGACAGGAATACGACTCAAGAAGGGGAACTCGGTGGAACTTAAAATGCTAAATTACTCCTGCCAATTTTTTTTAAAAGGTTATGTTTTGAAAGAAATATAAAACGGCAATAAAAAAAGAACTGATAATAAGTGTTCTGAGATATACATGTATATACACACATAATTTTTAAGGTGCCATATTTGTACATAATTTTCCAGATTCAATTTTGGGAATATTTTCATTCAAGTCCTATACCGGTCAGACCATTATAGTATAACACTGATAACCTTTATAATTTTATATTTACTAGCTAATTTTCTAAAAAACAAATGCATTACATTTACTATGGTTACTTTTCTTTTTCCTTAAGCAGTTATTTCCTTTTAAACTTTCTGTGGTGAACCTACGTATTAACCAATCCAAGAAAAGTATTTGCTCACAATTTGGCAAGCTTTACAAAAATTAAGATTTTTTTTTCCCCCCTCCCAATTACAGCCAAACTGAGAAATCCACTTGATTTTTGGAAAAAAAAACACTTTACTTAGAAGCACCACTTAATTTTACTGTGAATTAGAGGTGGTGGAATGTCACCTGTGGTTTTCATAACCTGTTAGATGTATAGCCAACCATCTATACATCTGGCAAGTTATTTCCACAGTGATCACTTTTTTCCTCTTATTGTTGCAGGGGGTTTTTGTGTACAGATATGTTATTTATTGAAAACACTGTTTAAATTAAAGATTACAAATAAATCCTGCCCTTGAAATTGCATTATTAAGGCCAAAAATGTGTTAAGTATAGGAACATCTGATTTTGCCTAGCATTAAATAAAAATAAAAATCAGTGCTGCAATTGATTCAACAATACACTACCAAGCAGGTACTGCAGAATATACTGAGGTCCAGACTTCCTGTCTCTGCAAGTTCTACTATCGTCTGCAGAATTAAAAAGAGAAAAGAAAAAAAAAAAAGAAATTAGAATTTAGCAAATAAACAGATGCTGACAACCATTGTAATAGCTTCTTCTCAGATCCAGGGTTGTGAACTCTTATTCATTTCATGTACCTTCTACACACAGGAACAACTTAAATTCAGCTGAAACTGATTTTAAATGTACTTTGTTAAACCAATATGTACATTTCCTTCTAAATTAATTCTATCTTATACTTATTCCTACTCTATCTAGTTTTAATTAGAGGAAAAGCAAGCTTATGTTAATTTTGATACATCCACACAGTGATTAGCACCAGTTTGACTAACCTGCTATTAAACTTCTTAAAATAATGCAGCTGAATTTCTAAACAGGAAGACAAATAAAACTAGCTAGCAGGATCAGCCAGTCTAAAAACCAGACTTTCTTTCCAGAGGTATCCCATCACAACGTTTACATCTATACTCGCCTCTTTCCTCAGATGTTGAAGCTTCAAGAAAGAAAACAGAGAACACAAACCAAAACTCCTCTTACAGGTAATGCTATACTTTCGGGCCAAGTGATACACAGAAGTAGGTACGAGTTAAAGCACATCTATACCTTCTCGCCAAATGATAGCTTTTTTATTTTGTACGCTCCTTCAGTACTCACTTCATCACTGGAATAGAAGGAACCTAGTATTCTGTCAAATGGTTTCATCAAGTTTTAAAATTCAGCAGATGAAATCTGTGCCTCATGAGACTTAAATGACATTTGCAACATATGGAAAGCATCCTGGAAACATCTTTTGCCAGAATAGTCCTCCTTGAACCTGAAGGAATTCGCTCAGCATAAATGGCCTAATGGCAAATAGATTAATCTACTGTTCCCTTTCAAACCACGTATACCTTACGCATCAAAGTGGTTTCTAACTGCAGAAGCAATAAAATAGTCCCTACAACTATTTTCTCACCATAGCAATATAAACACAACTTCCTTAATTAGATGATGACTGCTAAGGTGGGTATCTTGACTGAAGTCGCAGAAGTTTTCCTCCAAAATACTACACTTAATAACTGGTTAGGAAACATCTATGGAAATTTCCTCAAAGTAACCAGTAAAAGCTACAGTCAACAGCCTGGGGGTAAATCAGTGCCGTAATGCTTTCCCTGCTGATCTCAGGTATATGAGGAACAATCTTTACAGTTTTCTAACACTTCTAAGCTCTGAAACTTGGACTATTTTTCTCCTCGCTTGTTGTATTTCCATCTGCTATTGGCTCAGTATTCTTGCCTCCACCACTGCAACCCTTGAGATCCCCTCTCCAACCAACCACTGCCATTCACAAGCCCTTCCATGTCCCTCTTGCACTTTGCCAACTTCAGTACTCTAAATCTCTTTCTCATCCCCCCCATCATCCCTCACTGCTCTAACAACATTTCCCACTACAGGACTTGAAATTCAAGAGCCTCCTTCACAAGAATAACTTGTGAACAGAAAGGAAAAACCCAACAAGACGTATCTACCATGATTTCAATGCTGTTGATGTAGTTTTTGATACCTTAATATTATTTTGGACAATTTCAGTGGGAGCATACACTACATTACAGACTAATGAAAGGATGCACAAAGGAACGTACATGTTGCAATGCTCAGCACTGGAGTTCATTACTGTCCACAAGCAAGACCCCAAAGCTTAGGAGAACAGAAATGAACAAGAGCAGATAAACCACTTAAATATAAGTCTCCTTAGAGATTACAGCCCAGAGTCCCAGGACTACTCAAGTTAGAGTCACATTTTTGTGGTCTGTAAATATTGGGTCTACTTTCTGTGCTTTTGAACTACTAATATTTGATTTTGAAATTTTGAAATTGTTTATTTACTATTTATTTACTTATTTTAAGAGTGACGGGTTATTTTGTAACACAGAAGGAAGGGCATGACATACTGGAAGAATAAACATCTGAAATTGTTGCTTACTACGTATTATCAAACATACTTAACTTGGTCATCTGGAATTAAAAGAACATTTTTGGTTGCTTACTCCAAAGCTAAAGGCTAACTCAAGATAAAACATTTGGAGACAAATTACAAAACCGTGAGAAAGCAGTACACTGCACAAAGGTGAGACACGCACTCTACCGTGGTTTATGCCCCTGATAACAGATCATTTCAGTTTGGTTAGCTGCAAGGTAAGACAACCAAAACATTCATAGCCATATGTATCTGACTGAAGTAGTTGCATTTTACAATTCCTATCCAGTTCAGCAAGGCATTTGTAACCACACTTAACTACTTAAGCAAGTAGATCAAACGAATTGCATATTTGTGCAATTGGCTGAATCCAAACCAAAGTACAGTTGCTGACTCTTCTATTTAATTTAGTCCAGTTGAAGGAAGAGAATTTAGTCTGGAACTTCCTTTGGCAAACTGGCAGTAACAGAAAGGGAATTTGCAAAAGTAAATCTGCACACTATCAACTCAGTAATAAGCTATCGGAGAAAACAAAAATCACTTAAGCTATCACAACCATCTTTTAAAGGCTATTATCTGTTTATCGCTACATGAAGCTGTAATACCAAGCATCAGATTTCAATCCACACAGGTGTGGATTCACAAATGAGCATGAAGTAGAAGCACAAAACTCACTTTTGGTGGGATGTAAGCTTCTAGGAAACTTGCCCAAAAACGAAACAAACAAAATGTTTCTGCTGCTTGTGTGATTTTGCAATATTCAGTGCTGAGTTGGCTGCTGAGGACAGTGTACTTCAACAAAAAAACATTAGAAATGCTAGCAATAGTGTTAGAAAGCCTTAGAAAGATATCATTAGATCATCCATATTTTCTCTAATATTTAAATCAAAAGAAAAAAAACCAAACCATCCCAATCCCAGACTGCCTGGGGTTTTGGTTATTTTTATCCTTAGTCAAAGGCTTTTAGACACAAAGTTAAGGAAAACTAGAGGTGCTTTAAAGTCTGGAAATTTTTTTAGAATCAAATTAACTAATACTTATCCCATAATGGGTCACTTGTTTCAGTAAGGCAAAACTCTGAAATTTCACATCTTCATTTTCACCCAACTGCTTTTTAAACTTTTTTATCTTGAAAATCAAAGTTGCAATTTTGTTACTCAAAATGACCTAAAAGTAACTTTGGACCAGTAAGCACTTGCACATACATTCCAAATGTAAAAAAAGAAACCTGGATGACAAGTGAAAGGAAAACTTTTCAACATTTTAGACTTTTTGTTATACAATGATTCATTGAAACTTCACGTACTGAACAGTAAACTACTCTGACCAACTGGTGTCAGGCTGCTGAAGATCAAGTTTGACATATCTCATGGCTTTACCTTTTTCTTTTGTTCTTCCGTAGCTTTGATGATTCCTGGATCAGACTTCCAGGATTTTCCAAAATTGTAGAAAAGTGCAACGCTATTAGCGAGGAATGGAAGATGTATAAAGAAAAAATTGAGATGTGTTTGAAGTCAAGGAATCCAAAGTTTAAAACCAAATTTCCTCTTGAAAACACCCACTGGTAATTCTGAAACATAATTTAAAGACATTTAAATTTTATGAATGCCCTCGAGTCACTGTCTTCCGAATTAACAAAATTCACCGCTGCTGTAAGAACTAGCTTGGTACTCACTATTTTCTGTTGCTCAAAAACTGGAAAACTTACTTTTAAAAACGCTGTTCTCCATGAGGCATTTCTAAAGCACTTACCCTTCTAAAGAATGAATAACGATAGTTCAGTTTTTGTAATATTTTCCCTTTAAAATAAATTAAATTCCATGAAATTTATCTTCTTAAAAGTATTTCCTGTTTCCACAATAAACATTTCAGAGCTCTATTTATAAGTCATTTGGCTGCCTATGTCTTCAGTGGCTTGACATTCCCGTTGGATCACAGAAAGGACTGTTTCTAGCCATAGAAGGAAGTGTGCTGCAATGACCACTGTTGCATGGCAATCACATCCCAACACCACTTATCTCCAAGAAAGGTACTGTCTGTAACCTGGTCCTATTATAAGGGGATACCCATATTTGACATCAATGAAAGTTATTTTTAACATACCAATACATCTAATTCTTACAAAACCACAGGATTTAATATTCTCTGGAAGTGTTTATTAAAATCAATTACCATATAAAGACAGAAAATAACCATTAGTTTTGAAATGTATTTCTTGTGTTGAATGACTTGCCATGTAACACTCCTAGTCTTACACCACTTGACATTTCTTCACAGAATTTCTTAGCCATAGTGTTGAAAAACCAAATACTTCAGACATGCCTCTTCCACAAAAGGTAGAAAATTATTTACGCTGATAAACCTACACAAGACCTGGCCAACCTGACTACCTGTCAGCCATCGTTCCTAACTGCAAGGAGATGCCTTATTTGACAAAGTTGTGGTGGCAGAAACCTCTACAGCCTTATCCAGGCAAGAAAGACACTCATTACTCAGGCACAAGTCACTGCACACCCAAACTACACTATGTTCTGAGTGACTTAGATTACTTCAGTAGTCATTAGAACTTCTACTGTAATTAAAGTTTAATATATTGTGTGTTTGCGTTACAAAGCCCAGCACATAAGACTTAAAAACAAGCATTAAGTGACAACCTGCACTGAATTGGTATATAATGCTTTAAAGACAACAACAAAATCCCATTTTTTGCACGCTTTGAAAACATCGCATTTTGAAGTTACAACAGATGCTCAAATATATTCTACTATACCTCTACAAGTATATTCTATTCTCTTTGACTCCTTTGGAAAAAATGTTTATCAAAGGCATTAAGCAATATTAAGAAAACAATTACATAAACCATTGACAAATCTACATGGTATAATACAAGCAAATATAAAATGAAAAAAACAGAATTTCTATAGAATAGAAGTAAGTCTCTCAAATCCTTCTACACTGCTCTTGTGACATGAAGAAACCCTGAAATATGAATGAAGGGCTCTTTTTGACTTCTCAAATGCTAACAAAGTCTCATTGTTCATGTGAAGCATATCCCAAATAACTTTTGTTTTCCTTTTGTTGGGGAGAGGAATTCGCTGTGAATTTCTAATAAAAAAATATTAGCAAGTTAGGTTAAAATTTTAATCATGTACCTTATTTAGTAGAAAGTTAGTATTGGCTCACTAAAGGCTAATTAATCTTTCCTCTAACAATCTGTTTCCAGCAAGTTTATAACAGGGGGGAAAAAAAACACCAGCCATGCTATAGACTACACACTCACAATTCTATTTGATACATTACAGATGAAAAGCTCTGCCTTTTTTATAGAATCTAATTTCTTCCTATTTTCCTTCTAAAATTACCTGCTGCCACGAATAAGCTGGTTCAACTTATTCATACAGTTAAAGAGAGACTACATTTTCTTTAGAATACTAAAAGTATCACTGGGGTTTTTGCGACAACAGTGAAAACTGTTTTTTTATTAAAAATACCTTAATCAGACATCTGTTAGAAACAATAAAGGTACAAGTGAAAAATATTATATGACCCATTCCTAAATACTATACATCATGTCTAGACTGTTAAAGAAGATAGGGGGAAGACAATTTATTTTCTATCCAGTAGAAGGGTTTTTCTAACTTTAGAGTTTTGGAATTGGTTTTTTACTGAATAAAATTTAGACAACCTGTGTGATAAAGAAGCCACACGAGTAAGAATTCAGTTTGCAGAATTTTTCTGAGCTTACCCTTCCCTCATTTTACTCCACAAAATACAGAGAGAGAATAAGAGACTCCCCACAGAGTCTAAGTTTTGCCTTTCCTTTTATCACAGTGGTGTCGGATGAGTGCAAGGCTGACAGTGTAAATGGTGGCAGATAACGTACATCTGTGCTGAGGATGGGAGACGTCGTGAGACTACATGAGAAAGTAGAGTGAAGTATAGCTGAGCAGTAACTATGTAAATGGAGAAAGACAAAGTCAGCAGTATTTTTCATTACTATCTTCAAAAACCCATTTCTCCTAAGTTTTAAGCAAAACTGGGGAGAAGGGATGAAAACAAACCAGACTTTGAAGGCGAAAGGAAAGTCAGAATTTCTTCTCCAGGATTCTGGCATCTGATGTACATAAACAACTCCAACTGTAGGATTCATCTCACCTACCTTAAACTACCCAGCATGCCTTCATACATAACAGAAAGGAAAAAAGCTACATCCAATCTATCTTCAATATCGAGATATTTAAACTAAGTCAGAGAAGCAGTGCCCTACAAATGGCTATTTTTCTCCAGTGGCTACGCAGAGAGCTTAAACAACTAACTTAGATATGGATGTCCATGCTAGAGGTATCTATAATTATGTTGAACTCCCCTCTAAGTTTACTTCCAAAGAGATTTTAGCAACTTTGAGCAACTCTTAAGAGTCTCCATACGCAAGAAACCCCTGTAGGTTTGCCTACAAAGTAGGGAATCGGTTCTCCAGAGAGCAATGCTCTCTTTTGTCCTAACCTCCTTCCTTTTGTCCTAACTAACTACTCAAGGAAAAATACATTACCGTATTATTAAAGGCTGCAAAATACATGATATAGCAGGCATTCACCTTCTGCCCTGTCACCTATTTGCTGTCTTTTATGAGGTTTCCCCAGTTTTCATTATGAGAGACAAAGCAGAAACACCCATGAAACATTTCCTTTAGTCCTAATCAATATCTTTTAATTATTAGAACAAGTACAACAGGCTGAAAATTATTCCAGGAAACCACTTGGAACCAAAAATACCATCTAATTAAAATGAAACTTAAATCACAACAAGCACCCCACAACCCATAATTGAGGTAAACACGTACTGAGCTAATTTTTCATCCTGAACTGCAGCCTATTTAGAAGGGCCCAAACACATGCAGCTTCCTGCCATCACAGATAGACGTCACCCAAGAGCCTGAAACCAAGCCAAAATGCACATTATACACCAAGATGTTCCCTTCCACTAACTGCAAATCCAGTAATGAAATCCTTTTTTCCTAAAGAGAAGAATCTGAAGCTAGTGTAAGCGGTCAGAGAGCATTATGTGCTAATGAAGCTGCCAATTCTGAAAAGCTGTACATCTGGATCCAAGAGCCCAGGTAGATAACAGCAGATGGCTATGCAAGAAGCCTTATTTGATTAGCCATTTATTAGACAAAATCCATCCATTTTTAATCAGCTGAAGCTCTGTAAAAGCTCTCTACCTCCACCTTCTATCTAACATAAAAAAAAATCCCTTAGCTTGCAAAAAAAATTCATTCACTGTCATCTCCCCCACCCCAGATTTTTTTTTTTTTAAAATTCAGAAAAAGTATTTAGACATGGGAACAGAACCTCTGGATACACGCTGCTTTGCCGTTTTCCTGAAGCTAATTTTGGTAATGTGAATCGGGTTTTTTAACTGCTTAACTGTACCAATTAGCTTGTTACAGTTTTTAAAACACTATGCTATTGTAAAAGCCTTGTGAAAGCATGAAAATCATCATGAATTCTCTTACACCCACCTTTTAAAATGACCCAATTGAGAAAGTGTGCAGTGTTTGTTTTCTTTCACCTAAACCTCATCAATACACAAAGTATATTTGAAATAAATCAATACTCAATGATAAATTATTCTAAAAATGATAAATTGGCTTCTATCATCTCATTATTTCAGCACTGCAAATAGTATACTATACCAAAAAAGCTTAATTAATGAAAACTGTACACTCCCATTTGCACCAAATGGAAGTGGTAGAACCAAAAATAACACTGTGAATATTTTGGGTTACAGCAAACCCTGACATCTTAGAAAAACAGAGCAGTATAAGAACCTTCTGACATAACCAGCACTATTTGTTCAGCTGGAACTGAAAAGACTGTGTGAACAACTGAGATATGAACTTGGTACACGTGCCCTGAACTTTTACAGGACACAAGAGAATGTTCTACCTATAAATGCTAATGAAAAAGAATGAAATGTGAAATTCTAGTCTCATATTATTAAAAGTGTATTTTAAAACCCTTCTTTTCCTTTAAAAATAAAACTAAATTAGAATATAGTGATTTAGTGAGTAGGATTTTTGAGGGTATTTCCCCCCTACTCTGCAAACAGAAGAAGATACACTAACAGAGCAAGCCATAACCATCCTTTGTTACGGGCAAAATACAGTTAAAGGGAAGCAGCAAAACAGTGGCAGGGAAGCATAGGTCCATAGAATCATATGTCCATAAATACACAGATCATAACTTCCTCAACCCCAGCAAGAATAGGATTTCTATTTTAACAAATATACCAGACTCCGAAGCTGCTGAGAAAAATCCAGTAGAATGGAAACATTTACAAAAATTCAGTACACTAATTCATCTAAACTGTTTGAATTTACTTTCAAGATTGGTCTTTTAGAAGACACATCATTAAGCGTTAGAATTTATAGCCTTATTTTTCATGTCACCACCCTGAAATTCAAGGATATGTGATGCTAATCCTTGGTTTTGTTTGGTTTTTATGATACATTGTTTCGACTGCCCTTTTCTGTCTCATTAGGACTAAACCCAGGAGACCAGATGATCTCCCAGACACCTTCTACAGCCTTCAACATATCTACAAGAAAATTCTTACCAAACACCTGAATATTGAAGTAACACTTGCAGCAATGAAGACCTTTATATTATATATAATATAAAGTTCCAGCAAGGTAATTTGTGATAGTTGTTATAGGTTAGAAACTTTTTTCCTGAGCAAAAGATGGTCAGAATTTGTGAAAACTACTGGGACAGGTTTTATCACTTGAACACTACATAGTATAAAGTAGCACGCTGGTCTGCTGCAAGTAATCATATAAAGCTGTAAAAATACAAGAATCCTTTCTCCAACCACAATGCTGTGCCTCATGCTATAAAAATAGAGCAGGCATGCAATTTCTTTTTTCCAATAAAGCTACAGGGCAATTTTCCAGAAGAAGAAGAATGAATTTGGAATCTTGTTACAAAGACTTCCAATTAAAAATCACCAATTAATGGAAGATGGCCTCAAGCATTAAGTGTCTCAAACTGCTTGTCAGAGAATTGTGTCAGCTCTAATGAAAGCAATTAGTAACTGAAGTTTTTAGACTACTACTTCTGTGTACAAAAAATGTTGCAAAGGTTTTGAATCACCTACCTTAAATTACAGAAGCAGCACAGTGTTTTATTGACATTATGATGTCAGACTTTATTAGGGTAACTCATCGTCTATAGTTACTAATTCTAGTGGACAACAAACATTATTCTGTGACAAAAAAAACCCCAAACTTCAAGTTGCATTAATCAGAACAGCTAACAGAAATAAAACTATAAGCAAGTTGGTACAAATATGAAGAAAATATAAGTTTCAGAATAAAAATTGCACAATTTGCCAGCCTTAAGGGACAGCTTTCTACATCAAGATAGAGGCCATCATCAAGTTGTGTTGGCTGTGCAGCCATTTTAATACGGTCAAGGACTTTGATTTAAAGTTGCACACATTCTTAGATTTGGTTCAAGCTGCTGTTAGTGTTACCACAAGAAAGCATTTCACAGTAGCTCAACGTCTGCAACCCAAAATATGTAGCAGCACTAGCAAACATGAGTTTCTGAAGAAAACCTACAAGGTATGGAGAGCTGAGATTCTGAAGTGAGGTGGTATAGTTACTGTAACTGCCTCAGAAACTTCTTTTACTATTTGCCAAAAATCAGATTTTCTTAACAAAAAGAATAGGAAAAGCAACTTCAATCTAGAGGCATGACAGATTTAGACAGTTCTACTCCATTCCACAAAAACTGGAAAAGTATACCTCCTTTTTACTGGTTTTAAAAATGTTTTTCGTATTAATTTGGTACTTGCTTTCCTCCTTCTGCAGTTAGCAGTAAATTGCATTGAGTATACCCACAAAAAATCAGGCCAGACAGAGAGACTGGTAGTAGGATGAGCATTTCTAAATAACTACTTCAAGACATACTCATGTTAATATGGATAGATATTTTTCTTTTTTTTACTTAATAGCTACTAGATTTTCATTTTTAGGTTTTTTAAATGTGAAATAGCAGTAATCTCCAGTCCCATGGGGCTGTTCTTACTCACAGCAGCACCTTTGCAAACACTGTCAGCATGGAAGCCAAAGGCAGCATGGAAGCAAGGTCTCCTCTCTGTTCTCAACCCAAAAATGTGAGGCTTCATTTAGCTAAGGTTGGAGAACATATTAACAAGATGATAAAAGGGTTACATTGCTACTATCCTATTTCATGGTAATTCCTTTGAGGATGAAAAGAAAAACAGTTTCTAGAAAAGTCAAGCCAACTTCCATCATAAATATTAATTTCACTTCAACTATTGACAACTGTAAGAACCGTATTAAACATTTAATAAAACATTAAAACCCTATTTTGTTTTCTTGGGTACCCAAGAAAGTTGTTTAAAAACTTGAATCTATTTCCTTAAGGTGGGTAACTGACATTCTTCAGTGAACTCTGAATCAATTTCTACCCCTCTGAATACGAAAAGTTCATATCTAGGCAGTGAAAAACATAAAAAGATGGGCATATGCTGAATCTCTACAATCTAGCATTGTTACTACATACATCTTCAAAAACTAAAAATACAGTTATCAAATGTATCTAAAGTTTGTATGAAATGGAATTTGTAAAATCTTTAGGAAGAACTAACTATAAAGCCAATTCCACAGGAATTGATACATTCCATGAAATTACCTACCGCTTTTCAAAAAAGCAGTGTCTAAAAATGCAGTCAATTACACCTTGTCACTTTACAGCCAGAGCATATTTTATAGAGTTGCTTACATTTCTCCCACTTAAGAAACTGGTAAAGCACAGGAAATTTTGCAGACTACTGTAAGCCAATTTTGAGGAAAATCTTTCATTTACTGAAGCAAAGCAATAGTGTGCACATTTTTAAAGTGATAAAATAATTACCATCAATACAGAAATCAATGTTTAATGGAGATAGCCATTTAAAAAATTAATTAGTTTACTTACTCTTATGTGTAGGATATATCTAGATATTACCTCATACTACTAACATGAAAAAATACTACTTATTACTGTACACAAAAAAGGATATCATTCCAAAACCAGAAGAACCACGTCACATACATCCAGAATTTTGTTGCCAAGTATATTCCAAGAGGCAGTGCACTGTGCATGGAGTGATCAAAGAATGACCTGTAAAGTAGGAGCAATGTCACATGATAAGTTTTGACTTATAAAATGTAAATCCTCAACTACTGCTTCTGAAAAACACATCAAAATGCATACTACATGGGATACTGCAAAATACGTCATAAAAACATCTTATTCACTTTTACCTTCAAAGTTCGTGAGAAATTCCCATTTTCAACCTGTCCAGATGAAGGGTCATGACTGAAAGTTATTCAATTAGAATTTATACATTTACTTTTGAAGTGAATGTCAAGAACTGGACAAGAAAGGTAGAATGAGTAAATACTCATGATAAAACTACACTGTGAAAGCAGTTAGAAACCTGTGAAATTCCTATCCTACACGGATAGTGGTTGCAAACTACATTTACTTATGAGATTTCAGGGCTAAAGATATTTTGGAAACCCGTACAATGAAAATTACATGTTAAAATTACTTCATTAAGAAAACAAGTTTAAGAGACCTTGGTGTTATCAGCCTACATACTTGAAATAGTTCAGATTCTTGAATCTTTTGCTTCTGTTACAGTTGCCAAAAGAAAGTACAAAAAAACCCCAGATTAATTCATTCCCCGTACCACTAGACTTGCCAAGTTCTAAGACAGAATGCTGCTACTTTAATTAAAAAAAAAAAAAAAGCCATTAGAATGATTTTCACCTTCTTATACTCTTGCATTTTAAAGACTATCCCGAATAAAGTTGAATATAGCTGAGACAAATTAAGTGAGTGACTAGGTTACTCCACACTCGAAGAAAAAATTGCTAAGTATATAAAAAGTTAGGCTATAAACTGCTAAACTCCTTGACATAAAACTTCTTCCATCATCTGCCTAAACATCCTTACATTGACACATTTTAATTTTTGTCCTGGTGGTGCCCTCAGGGCTGCCACAGATAAATGAGTGCACAGAGTAGTTTCCATTTCAATCCTTTACTCCCTTGCAGTAACTGTCTTGTCTCTAATGGAGGTTTCTTAGGTCTTTTGAGAAAATTCTGTAAGGAAGATGAGCTAAGACAGTGAGTAGTAAGTGAATATACATCTGGGGACATAGGAGTTAGCAATTTCTGTGCCTTTTTTGTGTGTGTGAAAGAAGTAGGGAGGAAAATACAGCTAAGCAGATTAGCTAAAATTCAACAGGGAAAGGAAATGCTACTAGAATAATAGCAAAAGCTTCAATCAAACCTGGACTTTGTGAAAAACACTTCAAAAAGTATTTATACTAAACATTAAACAAAGGATAAGAGAAAGTAAGAATGTTAATCCTGAATACGTGTCAGGTAGGTCAAAAATATAAAACGTGACAAAACATAGGTCTTGAGAAACTTGAAGAAATCTTATCCTTGCTTCCTGCAGGAGGTGTGGTTGAGGATTTGCATTGCCAAATAAATTATTTGTGGGAGGAGGTGAGCAAATTGCACAGCCTCAGAGATGACAAAAAGACTGAAAAGATCATCTCCAAGATCCTGCAGAGGCAAAAGCTTGATGATCCCCCATCTCCCTCCTGGTCTATTAAGTTCACTAAAATTCTATGAATTCCATTTAAGGAACAGATATATTTTCTTCTCCTCTTTAAGCAGAAAGGAAGGAGAAGCAAGTGGTTCTAATAAACACAACATTCAATACCAGAAAAGCTTGTAAGCATGAAGATACAGTAAGTTCTTCTACACATGATAACTAAGAGCAAAGGATAGGTGAAGCAGTCTACGGATCTTGAAAATCCACTGGAGCATGCCTGCATGTGTATGTGTGTGCATGTGTATACACAGGTCCATTAAAGTAATCACAAACACAACTAAAATTCTTTATGATCAGGTAACAAATTAAAAACATCATTAGAAAACAGCCTTCTTCTTTAGTCACCCCTTTCCACAACAACAGAAGCTACAAAATCTGACTCTAACTTCATTTCTCTCTACAAATCTCTTTAGACGCCTTTGGGTATTTAAATTCTAAAAAAATAGTTTTTAATAGCATGCTTGCACATATCTTTTTTTCTATTCTTTTCTAGTAACTTTTCCTTTGGCTGTTTTCTGCAAAATTCATGCTGATAACTCTTTGTAGACAGACATTCAGCACCCTCCTCTGGATAATGACTGAATTTCTGTTCTGCTGTTAGTTTCTACTAGCTCAGTAGTATTCAACCAGGGTAATTCCATGGCTATTTGCAAGACAAAAGAGCATTACAAGAGCTCAAAGTCGCTCAAGATCTTGCCCAGAAATAGTAATAAAAAAAATTCCAAAAAAAAAAAATAATCAATGTTGCATATTGAAAAAACACACAAAAAATAGAAATTTAAGGTTGTTTATCCAACAAAGATACCAGCAAAACAATTTGTGTGTGCACACTAAACAGACAGTGTCCTGGTAAAACACTTACTTTGAAAGAAACTGCACCATAGCCCAAACGCCACCATACATCAGCCCTTTAATGAGCCAAGAATCAATGTCTAGGTCTGCTATAAACCCAACCAGCCAAATAACTAGGAAAGGAGTTCCCAGCATCACCTTCTGACGGAATTCCTATATAGAAACAAACATCAGTAAGTAACTATTTTCAGGAACAGATGGTATAAGAATATTCTATAATAAATAGGATTGTCACAAAAACTTAAATAAATTTTCAGGAAGCTTGATGTAAGGGGAGGAATCATTTTCTCATTTCCTGTATTTACATATCTCTAATAAATGTGCAAGAAAAAAAAATCTTCCTAGAATTTTATAACAAATCAGTAATTCCACTTATTTAGAACTGCCTTCTAGAGACTTTGCTGTTAATCCAGAATAAAGGCAAGAGCATCTCTTTTTTAAGAATCTGTCAGACTGTATAAACTACTACACAGCACACAGTGATCTCAGTGAACTTTAAATACTGCAGTAATGTAAGCAATAAAGTCATACTGAAGCATCTATGAAAGAAGATAGGACCTTTTTTGTCTTATACCAAGTGGGTACAATTCCTGACGAAGGCACTGAACTCTTTCCAGATATTCAAAGCATAGTCACAACGCACATGTACACACAATGCAATACACAAATCACATTATCATATTACCACAGGGCTAAAGCACAAGCTGTAGCCAGTGCTTTAATCATCAAGATGCCACGTATCTTTAAATCAAGAAGTTGTAACAAATCAGTGATAACAATACTTTATATCCAGCACAACACTCTGCCTGGTAAGAAAATATTAACTCTATATAAGCTATCAAACTATAGGCAGGTAGACAGCTCTTCGTGCTAGAGCACTGTTACCCTTTGTACCCTCATTTCTTGCCTCCTCCTGTCTGCAGTATTAAATAATAACCTGAGAAGAAAAAGGCCTCCACATTACAGATTCATATATTACATTATACTGTCAAGACTGACTGCTTCTTTCATTCAACACAAAGCACTATATAACTAGAGAGGAGATCAGAGTTCAGGATATCTAAAATGCTTCTTTCTGTAGACACTTGAGAGTCAGCTTTGTGAAAATCTTGGCTATCCCCAACCATACCAGACCATTTGGTACTTTCCTAACGTTTAGTTAGCACAAAAACTAAAGGTAACTGTGGAGGTTTTCTTTCCTCCTGCCTTGAACAGAGGTTTGTTTTTTTTTTTTTTAACCTTTGCAATTACTTTTGTCATAACAAAAAGATGTTTCCTAAAACTGAAATATGGGGAAACCACAGTACTGAACTGCTTACTTTAAACAAACACACACACTCCCAAACCAACGGCAGCAGTAATATTGATTTACAGAAATGTTATCCTACTTCTTACCTTATCAGCTTTTAGTTTTCTCAGAAAGGATGGACTGTCATATCCCTTTGCCTGTCTTGCTTCCTGTAGGTGATTGATCATCCAAACGTTTTTCCTCTGTTTTGCCAGATCAAGTGGTGATTCTCCCTGCCAGGAGTATAAAAGTGGGAAACATCCAATTTAAAAATACAATGCATTCAAAGCACTTTTGAAACAGAAGACTGGCAGGTAAAAAGAATACATTTAAAATCAGTTTAAGCTACATTCTGGCATACATTTTGCTCTGCAGCTTACTTGAAACCAAACATCATTCATTCCTCTTGGTCTTTTTCACTCTCTCATAACTATATATGAGTGGACAAGTAGAATATTAAATGTGTGATCCAGACAGTATCTATGTCCTGACATCGCAATAATTGTTGCCTTTGGCATAACACAACGATGTTTCACTGTTCTACGCACAGTCTACTAGTCTGTAAATGAAAGACTGTGCTTCCCCCTCAGCTATTGACAGGCAGCAGAAATCAAGCAAAGAATAAGAACTTGTGACCCACTGGATCATGGAAACTCTCCCAGCCTAACGCCTGACTCCTAAGCTAATTCTCTGCCTTTTTGGCAGAGTGAAGTTACTAATGCCATGGAACGTTTCTATAAGGAATTTTTTCCACAATCTTACTGGCCTTATATCCATCTCTGTTACTGAAGTCCTAGGAAGAAAACAGGAAAGAGTAAACTGATTGCTCCAACTTATTCCAAAACTCTGAGCTTTTATGCTTAGCTTGTGCTTCACGTACTTTGGGTGCTAAGCCAGCAAGGGTTCATGCTTTCTCTTTCCCTTTTTCTGACAGACAAAGCAAAAGAGAAACACAGAGAGAGATACAGGGGCCAAAGATGCCTACTTAAACTGATTTGATTTCATTGCTTTTTAAACATTTAGGAAGAGAGCTAAATGAAAGTTATTGACTGGGTCTAAAATTATAGAGGAGGCAAGAGACAACCAATTTCAGGTACCTCCAGCTTCAGTTTTGCATTTGACTCCTCCTCTCTTCTACTGGAGTTAACTCCCCTCCTAAACAAACCATTCATGGAGGCTTGAAAAATGGCTGAATCCTCCATCGCTCGGCCCCCTCCTAAAAAAAAAGTGAGACAGGTACCAGAAACTGAAATTACCCAGAAAGGGCAATAATAACTATAGACAAAAGAGATTTCAAAGATTAAAAAGTACAGTTAGCTACTTATATCCCATAGAAAGACAATGGGAATTGAGTACTTAACTGTCATTTTTTGCCTCTGAAATCTTGCTCCAAATCTCTAAAAGGAGAGTAAATAGCACAGACTATTGATTATGAGTTGAAGCTTTTTGCTATTTAACAGGATCTTGCACTCCTTCGGTGTGAGTTTAACTAGCAAAATCAGTTAAAAAAAGAATAAACTTTTGACTCAAAGTTGGCTTCAAAGTTATTTAGCCAGATGTTTAAGAAACAGGTTAACTCAACTCCATCCTCAACAGCAATGCCTGAAACGGAACTATGGTGCCTGCTTCATCACAAATTTAATAGCACCTTGAATTGCTAATACCTAGAAAACTTCAGAGATGCTGTTTTTTTAATATCACCTTGTATATCCAGACTGCAAAGATTACCTGTGGATAAGCAATTCCCCCTGGGAGTTGATCTCCCAAGTAAATCCTGAAGTTGTCTTGGGGTCCAGCTGAGCATCCCTTCCACTAGAGGGCCATGAGACACCTAGGAACTGCCTAGATAAAAAGATTGAGGGAGCTTTAAAGAAGTCTTTGACTATGCTTCTCATCATCTGGCCATTTCAATATTTTCCTTGTATTTGCAGGGGTCGTGGATGGCTGACTTGCTTAGAAAGCAAAAAAAAAAAAGTAAAATAGGGGAGCTTAATCTAGTAACACACTTAGTTTGCCAGCAAGCAATACAGCTTCAATTATATATTTGTAAAGTGTTTAGATAGAAAGAATAATCTGAAGAGTCATTACCATGGGGAACTTTACATGTAGACTTCCACAGACAAGCCTACAGATACACTGCATAATCAAACTACATCTATGTCCATTCAATGATTCATTAACAAATTTAAAAAAAAAAAAAAACTTCCTTAAACCATAAAAGCTCTTTTAGGTCTCTACCACTCCTTAGTAAAAACGGAGCTTCTGCTTATATTTAAATAAAATTTACAGGTTTCCCCCTGACCCCCATAATAAGCTGACTCCCTGTGAAATCCTGTCCTCATCTGCCCAATTTGTCTACTGGTGTGGCAGATAATTTCCTTAACAAAAAATCAACCAAACAAAAACGCACTCTTCTTTGACTATTGAAAAGCAGCTTCCAACTCCAACTGTAATCCAGTTCTCAAAAAGGAAAAAGAAAGTATCTCACTACCAAAAGTACTATTTTCTTGTACAGCAAGAGGATAAAGAGGATAAGTAACACAAACAGGGCAAACCCACTGCTTGTGTCAAGCTTTATTCCAGAATAAGAGTGCTATTGTTCATATACTTCTCAAACTGTCATGCAAAGTAGAAAGAGCACCTTACTGAGATGACTGGTTCCAATTTGTTCCAAACCTAGGCGGCCAGCAGCATGCACCTTTCTAACACAGACTGCCTAGAGCCTGTAACAAGGTCAAAGCTCGCACCTGGTATTGCAGCCATTTCATAATTTGAAAAAGCTGAACGGCTTTCAGCCAATGTATTTCTTTAACCTTAGCTGTCTTACCACCACCATGGGCAATCTGAGAAAAGGACTTCGCTAGGTAGCACTGCTGAAATCTGGAAGAGACTGCATCAGAAAGGAACCTTTCACGATTCCTTTCATTTCTGAGCAAACATGAGCCAGACACTTACTTAACTATCGGTTTTTGGCTCAAACTTTTTTGCTGAACAGTCAAAGGAGAAGGACAAAACTGAGTTTCTATATACCTATAAAAATCAACAAAATTCTTATGTTTCCTATATGTTTACTATCACTCAAATCAACATCTGTTATAAAGCCACTGGCAGGATGGCAAAACTGCCACTGCTAGAATGATTTTGATCCTCTGAAGATTCTAGAAACCTGGGAAGGCATGCAAGAAACCTCCACTCCACCGCAGAACACAGGCAGTGGTTAATGAAACCAGGCACAGGTTTTCTGCCATGACTGGAAAGATATCATGATCCAGCAGGTTCAAAACCCTATTTTTCTACTGACTGCTGCTGTCTGTCAATAAAGGAGGAGAGACCATGAACTGCTTCAGGCTAGCAGGTACTTTTTCATTTGGCCAAAACCATACAAATTTTTATTACAGATTTCATGAATCCTGAAACATAGGTAAGGTGATGGCTTTAAAACTCTAATCACACTAATCAGTCTGCCAAGAGAAGCAAGGTATGACACACAGATTTTTTTCTCCAAAAATACCTTAATTTTTACCATTAGGTGGCATAGAAAAAAAAGCTTTTCAACAGTTTACAACAAGTGAGACTAGAAGCATAATTCATACACATGACTGACCTTACAGACCAGGAATAATTATTATATATTCACATCAGTACATGCAACAGGCTAGTTGATTTTGTTTAAACATGTGAAAAGCCATGTGATTTTTCTAATGAGTTTTCATTCACAATCATCAGTATTTCTGATATCCTAAAGTGGATGTAGGACCTAGAAAGCTACTAGCAAAATTTGACTGCACCCTTAAAAAGACTGTTCCATGCCGTTCAAGAAAATGATCCGTATATATATATTTTTAGCATATTTCTACCACTCGTGGCCAAGCAAATTAGGCCCTGGCCATCTTAATCAGTAAGGAAAATGGTGAAAGGTCAAATAAATTTAGTTAAGAATTTAACATTTTATAAATGTAGACTCATAGCTGTATCTTCCAGTGTAACCACTCCATCTGTAACACTCAGTAAGTGGAAAATACAAATATTTTAAGAGAAATTGAGTAAAGAATTCTTTTTCTAAAAGTGCATTCTTCTCTAACACCACAGAAGAAACAGCTTGGGTGGTGAAGTACATCTAATTTGATATACCGAATAGTCTGGAGGCAATGGACAAAACCACATTCAATAGGCTCACCTTCCACTGCTGGAGAAACTCTTACAGACTCCAAGTCTACGGCATAAATTCTAACAGCTGCTTGGCTGCTCTAACATATACTAGGGGTGGGCTCTGTTAGTGCTGAATCTAGCTTCATCATCAAGAGGTTCTGGTAGAGTAATCAGGCAACTTAAAGTCCCGATGCAAAAAAGAGCCCATTTTCTTATTTTACTCCTACTGGCATTTTCAGGCTTCCAACTTCCTTACTGCCACCATGAGAAATACTAGAGCATTTATCATCTCTCTGGAGGAGGACAGAGATGTCTCACATCTCACTCCAACAAACAGACAGTCACCCCAGAACTTCACTAGAAGACATTCAGTCAGACTTCCAATTTTGCATCCAAATGCATGGGTCTTCATGCATGCAGTCTAATTGCACACCCCACTCCCACATATTTGCACATAACCACTGGTAAATTATTTACATGAGTACTTCTGAAGGTGCAGATTTAGTGGTTATGCATCACTGTTAGGAAATCATCTTCATGATCCCACCGTTCCCACAGTAATAATCTATTCTTGAGATTCATCATAGGCTCTGTTATTTCTGCCTCAAACCACTTACAGTAAAAACAGACCAAGTGTTTACCTTTATATTTTGAGCATCAACATTAGCTCCAGCTTCTAACAGAAGACTAATAACTGTAGTATTTCCTGCTAGCACAGCCCAGTGCAACGCTGTGTTTTTGTGATATTTGTCTCCCAGATTAACAGAAACATTAAATGTAAGTAGTAATCGGGTTGGATCCACACTAGAAAAGAAAATTTTTGTTAGTTCTACAGAAGATGAACTCAAATACATACCAACTTATTGTTAATGAGTTCAATTTCTATAAAGAACATTGATCAGGTACACTATGTAATAGCAAAGTGACATTATTTGCTGATGATTGTGAATGGCTCAAATTCCCTTCCCACCAAAGAGCAACTGCAATTCTGTGGACTTTTAAAGGAGCTCAGTAAGACAGCTTGTTCTGGGATGTCATGAAACACATTTGTTATACGATTCTGTTTTCATGTTTACCAAAACCTAACGGTATTAATGGATTTGTAAGAGCATGCACATGATTATACACCTGGCAGGTAGCAACCGAAGTTCAGAACATGCTATATTTCCACTTCACATTCCAAAAGATGAAAATAAAACACGATGCTAATGTTGGTAATGGTAGGTATTTGTAAAAGCTAGCTATGCTCCTCTCAACAATTGATGGAGATAGGCCCTTCAGAGCAGGAATCTAATTCAGACAAATACGCTCTTCGGAGAATGTTATTGTACACCAACTTTTTCCAACCATCTCCATGGGAAAATTTACTTTGTAAACTGAAAGTTCATATTAGTGAGTACTTCATCATAATATCCTCTCTCTTGAATAGGTCATTGTACTGGTTTTGGTTGGGATCAAGTTAATCTTCTTCATGGTAGCTCCTATGGTGGTGTGTTTTGGATGTGCTACCAAAAAGGCATTGATCAAGCACACACGTCCTAGCTATTGCTGAGCAGTGCTTGCACAGCACCAAGGCCTTTCCTGTTTCTCACGCCGCCCCGCCAGCAAGTGGGCTGGGGGTGCACAAAAAGCTGGGAGGAGACACAGTGGGGATAGCTGATCCCAACTGACCAAAGGGATGTCCCACACTATATGACACCGTGCTCAGCAATAAAAGCTACATGCAAGAAGGAAGAAGTGGGGATGTTTGGAGTGATGCCTTCTGCCTTCCCAAGTAACCATTACAGGTGATAGAGCCCCGCTGTCCTGGAGATGGCTGAACACCTGCCTGCCGGTGGGAAGCAGTGAACAAATTCCTTGCTTTGCTTTGCTTGGGCATGCAGCTTTTGCTTTATCTATTAAACTGTCTTTATCTCAGTTTTCTCACTTTTACCCTTCTGATTCCCCTCCCCATCCCGCTGGGCGGGAGCAAGCAAGTGACTGAGTGGGGCTGAGCTGCCTACTGGGGTTAACTCACAACAATCATAAATGAAGAAAGATAAAGGGGCAAATCTGGAAAGACAATTGACCAGTTAAACCAAAAAAAACCTTTCAAAAAAATCAAAACCAGTTACTACTATATGCCGCTTAGTTAACATCAAGGGAAAGTCAAAACTGCAGTGAGATATTACCTATGTGTTCTGTAAGCTGCCCACATTAAAGGTGTCATTCCATTTTGATCCATCATATCTACATCCTAAAAAAGGAAAAGAAAAAAAAAGTCGGTGAAGTAAGCACGCTCAAGATCCAGTAGATGTGAGGTTTGCAGTAAGAAGCAGTATTTTAAGACTAACCAACTGAATTGGAGAAAAAACTGGCAAGCTTTTAGTACATAGTAAAGTAACATTTAAAAATGAAAACAGACATTAACACCACCGTTGCAAAAATAGAACCATTCCAATCTATTTTGGAAACTAAGGAACCGTCATATTGTAAAAGACTAGTAATTTCTAGCTTACTATTAATCTTCAACATAAAGATATATACAGATGATGTACAACTACATTCAAAAGCATTAGAAAACTAAAGTATTTTATTAAATATTGGTGCATTAATTGATAATTTAACATAAATACCATGGCCTGAATCCTACATCCCACTGAATGCTATCTGCATCTATTTTTCCACTTGCAAAGCAATTTTCCTTAGTTCACTCAGTTCCAAAGGTATTTAAATATCTGGATATCAAGTTACTGGATGCCAGAAAATTTTCAAGTTTAAACAAAAGCCACGATAAAAGCAACGTACCCAGAAATAAAACTGATCCATAATCAAGTGGTGACTAAACTCATGGCTAAAAACAAAAATATACATTACTACATTTAACAGAACATAGCCACAGAATGACAAAACAGCACCATCCAGACAACTCTCTTAGATCCATCAGAAAGGATCTAATACCTACAGCATTTTTTCCTGTTATATATCCCTGCCTCACTACCACAGAAGTTGGTAATTCTTAAATACACTGAGGCCGATTAGACTGTCAAGCACATCTGGGCAAGTTCCACAGACCACCACTAACAAAATTACTCTAACTAAATGCAAGACCTAAACAGTTTTCCTTAGAGGCAACAGAGCTATGTCAATATTTCCTATGCTACTCCCCCCAGTCCTTACTAGGAGAATTAGGTTGAAAATGTTTCAGTAAAGTCTTTTGCTACAGAAACTACTGGAAGAAACCCAGAAAGTGGATGAAGTTGCTTTCTGTCACTCCCAGAACCTTCTTCTCTGCTCCAGTAGTCTGCCAAATGCCCAGCACCCTGGGATCCCCGCTCACGGCGCTGCTAGCCTGACCCACACCAAAGTCTTCCAGAAAATCCAATTTAGTTCTTCCAAATAATTGCTTTTAAAATGTCCTTAGCCTACAGAATACTTTATTTTTCTGTGTTTTTACACTGTTCCTTAATTAAAAAAAAAAAATCAGAAATTTAAAAAAACAGTTGATGGAGAGGAAAGAGAACCATTACTTTATTGCATTTTTTGTTCAGAAAAGTGTGACATACATTGAGACCGGGATCCAAGTCTATTTGCCCACAGCACTTACATAGATTAGATCCTTTTGGACCTACTCGGACCACACAACTGTTGCCACTCCCCTTAACCTCCTGTTGTTGAAATCATGAAGGAAATCAGAACCACAGCCTAACCTCAAGGTCATTCATCCTTGAGAAGCATGACTTTGACTCACAGGTCACTCTGTGTGAGCAACATATTTTGAAGACTGTACAAATTAATGTAACGTGAACAATCACTCTTTCATCTATAGATTTAATGTAGAAAAGGAATTCTTCATGACCAACAGCAGGGACCTGATTGCCTGGATGTTAAGTAAAACGATTCCTTCCGTGATTCCACCTGACAAATCAAAACTACACTTTGCACACTAGGTGACACTCAGCTAAAAGAAGAAGAAAAGAAAAAGCCATGAACTCCAGACTATTCCCTGTACATAAATTATCAATGCAGGCTACAGCTATTACTCGTATTAAGCTACAACGTGGGCTAAGGCAGATCCCTTTTCAAAGGAACTTTAACAAGAGGCAAAGCAAGTAAGATGGACTTGCATCCTGTTGTATAGATGTATACAAAGATGACGTAGTCGTGGATAGTAGACACATGCTCTAAGAATCCTCTCATCAAAAAACATTTTATTTTGCCATTTCATTACCACAATCACACAAGTGGGGCACTTCAGAAAGGAAGCTCTGTGGCTCCTTTTTACCAAAGGGCTGAGGCAAAAAAGTAAAACCTTCAGCAGCAGGTACATATTAGGAGACTGTTCTTCTGTTCTGGTGTGTACTAAGAGGCATTTTAGCATTAATTTCTTGTTTAACCCTCAGCGACAGGTCAATCTGATAATGCTCATGGAGAGATGTACCTATGCTGTTAAGACAACAGTACGAGCACTACAAGGACCAAAGGTTTCAACAGTAAGTGTTGCAATGATCAAAAACTGCACGTACTGCTGTCCTCTGGATGCATCTAAAGAGTGAACTCCATGGACCACAACTGGCAAATTTTTCACTATTTTCTGAAACAGAACAACTCTGGTTCCGAAAGAGAACAACTTTGCATATGCAAAGATAACCAGACATAATCCTAGGACACATACAAAGATTCCACAAAAAGTTTCTGGAGGGGCAAAAATGTAGGGGAGAAAGAGCTTCCTGCATGGAAAGGAGCTGCAGCAGCTATTCTGCTGCTTAACACTGCTTTCTGAAAGCAATAGAGCTGACGAGGTAGGATTCTGAATAGCAGACAGAGATCAGAGCAGCATTTAGGCTTACCAGGACATTTAACAAGCAATGGTCAAACCAGTACTGTGATACAATACAGCCTTTTCAAAAGCACAAAAAGCATCAAGAAACTCTGCTTAGAGGTGCATTAAATTGGACAGAAAGGGACCGGGAATTTGATCCTCTTTAGAACCATTACTGGTTATTTCACAAAACATGGACCTTCACAGAAAGACCCATTACACCCTTGTTCAGAATCCTGTTCTCCACAAGGAAAAGACCTCTTTCACGTGGGCTGTTGCCCAGGGAAAGGGAAACAGGCTTCTAAAGAGATGATATATTTAAAAGCATATAGTAAAAAAGATTTATTGGGAAGAGAGCTGTAAGGCTGAAAACATTGCCTAGTTTAGGAAAGGCATGCTAGTTATTCACTAGAAGAGGAGATTTTGTAGCTTTGTTGCGGACTGAACAGAGAGCAGACCGCCACGCGGGTCATCAAGCAAGGTAACACACAAAACTGAACTTGCTCTTTCAAACAACAAAAGCTCTGTTCTGAATACTCTAGTCCATTACATGCAGGGTCAGTTTTGACAATCATGAGAAAGAAACATGACTGGGCTTATAATTCTGTAACTAATGTGCTGTAGGTTGGGTCTAAGGAATAAACACTTGGTTCAGTGTCTTACACTGGCCCGAGCCCAGTGGAGAGAACAACCAAGGTTGGAGCACTTAAGAGCACTGCTCACGGACTGCAGCACCAAAGTAACCAAGGCTGCCGGTACCACACTGGCATCTCCCAACCTAGACGCCAACTACAGCTAGGCCATAGCTCAGCAGGCAGCCCTATGTAGCTCCAGACAGTAGTTAACACATAAAACTGCAGCTCTGAGACTAAAAAAATACATGCTTGATGAATAAGTGGTAGTTAAACTGAGTATGAAATAGTTAAACTATAATTTCAGCTCCAGAATATTTCTTACAACATGATTTTACCTTACTAGCAACTTTATAGTCACTCATTATCTGTGACTGAGGCGAGGTAAGTTATGTCACACATGCCACAGAATGAGAACACTATTCAACCATCCAATATACCTTATCCATAGCTTAAGTTAGGCCCTGATATGCCTTTGGCATTTTAAGCAGTGTCAAGCAGTCAAGTAGTAATGAGCATCAATTTTGAGTATTTTTAAGCGCCTTCCAAGCTCTTTTCAGTTTTTCTTTCTTGCAGTTTTTAAAAATAATAATCTTACCTAAACTTGAACTGTGCTACAGATTATGTTACTTGCTATCTGATTATACTTATACCCTGTGCTTGCCCCAGGCTTGATTTTGACCCAGGCAACCTACTGACACAAACAACACGAGCAAATTATGATACAGCCAGGTATTAGTCTCTCAAAATGCAGTATGAGACATCACTAAATAAAAAGCCACAGCTATCAGCCACCGCTGCCTCTTGGCTGAGTAGTACTTGGTGGCATGAAAGTAGGTTCACTTCCAAGGCCAGAGGGCATCTGAACAAGAGTTCTCCCCCTACACCACACTCCAGAAGCTAGAGGACTGGACTCGAGCCTCAGACTGGAAATTTTACCATTGCCTGCTGCAGCCCAGGGAGAGAGTGAAGCAGCAACACTGAAATCGGGTTCCAGCTCTGTCTTGAAAAGGGACAAGAAGAAATTAGGAGCAACTTCTTAATCCACCTGTCAGTTCTCTACACAGTTATGAAAGCTGGCTCTCCTCTGATCATGCAGGTCCACAAAGGCATCAGGATCAGAACTAACAAAGCACAACAGCCTACACTGACCTTTATTTTGACATTTATTTACTTGTCATTTACCACATAGGTACTACGATTAGGTTCAGAACAAGGGCAAGCCTACCCTTTGAATATACAAGAACCTGGCCTCTGTAAAGGCAAAAGGCAAAAAAAATTTTGCAGGCAGTATATAGGGTAAGCCCACATAAGCAAAAGCAGTTGAAGTTTTCAAACCCAAGTCATGGCATTCCAAAGGCAGTGAAAAAAAAATACAGAATTAATGACCTCATATGTATTTATTAAAGAAGAACAAAAAGCAGAATCATGTATTTCCCTTAGCTTCTACAGAAACCATGTAGTTTCTGTAACTGTATGTAGTATAGTTAGAGAACTATGAGTTTAGGGATTGTTATTACAATGCTGTAGATATTACTATATTTTAAACATCCAAATCAATACATAATTTTAATGTTGAACTTTTTGAAGTGCTTCCAAGAATTACTGTTAAAATTAATTCAAATTCATGGCATGGAAAGGATACCAAAATCATACTTGATAACATTTGGGGGATTTAATAAGAATTACCCTTCTAAAAACTATTGATAGGAGAGCTGTTTCCAAGATAATAGGTTTTAAATTTTAAAGCAAATTTTGTGCATTTATGTATGTACACATGTAAACACACAGAGCTTCTTTTGGACTGAAGCATTATATACTCAGATAAATAGGACAAGTCTGTACATAAACATGAGGACAAATAAACATTTACAGGGACATTTCATAATAGAACATTTTACTTCATTAATGCTATGCTTTAAACAAGTTTGCATGTGTAACATCTGCAAGATTTTTCTGGTGACATAAAGCCCACATACAATTATACATAATTTGTGAACAAAATACAGAACTTGTTCCTGATGAAAAAACATTTCTCTCCCACCATTCTCTCTTACAAAATAGCAATTATATATGATCAGCCTCTTCTTGTGCCTAGCTTACTCTCCGTCATACACTAAATACTGTTTTACCAAACAGTTCTCAAATACAAACTGAATACTTCATGGAGCAACAGTTTATTTTTTTACATGTACAGGCACAAATAATTTTCTGCAGCAAACTTAGTATTTGTTTTACACAGATCAAACCCACTGATTTCATAGTCATATTCTCCTTGACTCCCTGGATTGTATCTCACTTGCTATTTGAAAGAATAAGCAGAATACAGAAGTGTGAACAGCATTAGCAAGACTGTAAAAAAAGAGGAGCGCTTTGCCCTTTCTAATAGGTTTACAAAGTAAATGAAATTTGTGCACGTATCTGTGGGTGTGTAAATCCACAAATTATAATGCAGGGTGAGCAGCAAAAAGGTGTACAGGGTCTTGAGCATACAGAATGAAGGATGGGAGACAATAAGAACAGTAATGAATGTACATGCTATATACACACTCCACGGATCTAGCAGTAATATAAGAACCTAGCAAGAAGGTTTTAGGTTGTTTTGTTTTTTATTTACACATGCATGCAATTACTAACAGCAATAAATAAAAGTTGTGGACTGAGAGGTAAAAAAAAAAAAAAAAAACAAACAGATGACCTAAGACAATTCTTTGTCATTAGATTACCTATGTATAAACCGATGATTCTGTGAGGAATTCCAAAATATTTGCTATCATTGTCACTGTTAACATTTAAAGATTAAACTCATTAGAAATAAAGAATGGTAAACAGTTAACTGCTAAAATTTCCACATACCACACTAGACAGGTATGAATTAAAGTCAAAGTACCCACCCAGACCACTGTTAGAGGAAATTAAGTTACCAGGTGGCACATCAATACTGTATTCTACAATAAAAGACACTGAATTATTTTTATGTTTATGAGGCAAATATTTTGCATTTCCTGAATGATAGATATAGGTTGCAATTCTTTTCCTACTCCCATTTTTGAATAGAATCTATTTAAATATGATATTATTTAAAATTTACCTGTCCTTTTGCTATAAGGTAAGCAACAATCGAAGTATGTCCAAACTGGGCAGCCAAATGAATACAGCTACATCCTTCTCCATCAATTAGCGACGGATCTGCCCCATATTTCATCAGCTGTACAACCATGGATAAGTGGCCCTGTCTAAATGTAACAAAACACAAAAAACAAACAACTGAATAACTATATACATAAAAATTATCCAAATTTGAATATCTGAATCCAAGAAATATGTTTAGCAGTTAATTACACAACCAGAGCTTCTGCACTTTTAATTCCTACTTTGAAAACAATAATTGTCACCATCTGATTCTGCAACTGAGTAAGCAAACTCATTCACATAAGCAAATTCTATGCAGCCGATGCATGCATCACATGCAACTGGCTTAAGTGTGTTGTATACCAAAAGGCCAGTCAACAAAAAAACCCAAGTTACTAGTTTAGAAATCTAGTCTACGGTGACTTCTTCCAATCCACACATGAAACCTGCTATTTTAAGAGATGTCAAATTGGCTACATACTCTCAGTTTTTGTGGGGCATATGGTTTATCTTTCTACTATTAAAAACAGTAGTGAAATAAAAATAGGAAGAAAAAAAAGGAAAACTGAAGGCCTACACTTCCTCCACACTACATTAAAAGCTTAAGCATCTTTTCGGCATAATGAGCACAGGCTTTTTGTTGATTCAGTGCCTAACTGTCAGCACACAGTTTCTGACATGAGAAAAAAGACCTTTTCAATGTCAAAAGCAGCTTTGGACAATGCTTCACAGAACAACAGATTACAGCTATGAAGACCAGGAAATTTAATCATGCTTTTGTGCTATTAACACAGATTGTAGAGTGTGATCTGTGACAAAAAGAAATATACATGCTAAAAACTTTAACGGGAGCTAACCAGTAAGCCCTCATCTTTAGTAAGCAAATTATTTTGATACATTAAGTGTTCTAAAAGCTATTTTTGTAAGCCTCCTTTTGCAGTCTACAGTGAAAAATATTAATATGGACAGTATTCTTTTCCTGCCTATTTCTAGGCGGTTGTCTGAAGAAGCTGCTACTACTCAAAGGCTGCCTTCAATTTTCCCAGCCATTCATCATTCTTGGACCATCTTCTACATCACAGATCTGATTTTAATTGCATCTTAAAAAAAAAAATCCACACATGTAGTAGAATACCGTAAGGACAATGTCACACAAAATCATCCCAACCCCCATCTGCACAAGTGCTGCTGAACTTTGGAAGACTGACAAAAATAAGATCTCCAAAGTAAGAGTAAACCAAAGTAACTACAGACTCTAATTTTACTTTACTCTTTTTCCTGTCATAGCAATCATCTTCCTCTACATCAGAAAGAGATAAGAAAAAACCTGAATTATATGCTGAAAGCTCCTGTAGCTCAAACATACCACATTCACAGTGTACCCAGTTATCAATGACTGAATTAAATCTTGTGCAAAATATTCCCAGAAAATACAGCAATTTCATAAATCAATCAGTAGAAGATTCCAAGTTAAGAAAAAACACAGGAAAAGGAAATTCCAGAAGACTTTTCCCCACCTTGTTGCCCAGTGAAGTGGGGTAGAATTTAAATCTCCTCCAAGCTGATCAACAATAGCACCTTTTGATATATAGTATCTGGAAAAACAAAAATAGTAAACATTATTGTTTGTCTTGGTTAAATATAAAGGACACACAGTAAGCATGTTTGATGTTATGCGAAACAGGCAGTTACAGACTGGAAGATCAGAACCTTTCCTTGCCTTCATATAACCTTCCTTCTAAGAGGTCATGCATATACGTTCAATTTTTTGCCTTTTTGATGTGGGTTGGGAGAGTACGGATGCTTCCTACTGTGTTTTAAACATGCTGCTGTTTCCTAGTTTGGTTCTAATGTAAATCAGAACAGTTGCTACATATGTATTAGTACAAACTGTCTTACCACAGAAATTTTTAATAAAATGGATTCTTCTAAAATATTTAGGGGTTGCTGCATCAAAAAGAATTCTGAATTAATGGTAAGAGAATATGTTGCTTAGCACATTTAGAGAATTTTGGCTAAAACAGCAAAATTGTATACAATTCAACTTGCAACACGTATCACCACTGAAACGGCCCCGCTGAAGTCATCGTTCCAAGAGCTCATGCTTAAGTTACGTGTTTAGCCAAGTACTAAGATTTTTGGATACTTCTCAATTGTTTTTAACAAAGGACAAAAACATCTGAGTGTTTAAAAAATAATTCTAAATGGTGGGCTACAAATCATTTTTCCCTCGAGAACATTTCTAAGAAGATGAGCTACCTGTAGGAACAAAACAAATTACCCATATTTAACTGCAGCAATACATACCACAGTCATTTGTACTGTTTCTGTAAACTGTTTTCCTTGTTGTTTTATACGGGACACTGAACTGGCAATATTAATCTTCCTTTGTGAAAGAAAACGCACACCTTACAAAGAATTAATGTTTTTAAGAAACGAGCCTTTCCAGAAGGCTTCTAGGTCTTCATTCACTACTGTATAATCCATTGGAAAGAAAAAGTTATTCCTAACAGACCTTTGAAAAGTACTATTTTGCTACAGATTCCTAAGTGCTTACACATATTTCAAGTACGCCTGTCTGCAGACTTTTCGCTTTCAAAATACCTGTCAGGTATATACGAATCCTGCTCTCCCACCCACACAAACTGTCCTTCAAATCCTCAGCATTGAGTTTCTGGCACCTCAATTTCCTCTAAGTGTTTCACGACATGGCAAGAAGAAAGGCAACAAACAGAACAATTTGAAAAACATTAAGTAACTACCTTCTTTTTTTTTAGTGCTTATTGATTCAGAGTGAAACTTCAACAACAGCACAAAAGTTACCTTCAGGAACAGAAACTGAAAAATGCATTAACTATCCATGTCCACAATAAAAACATTTAAAGGAAAAGTCCTTTCATACAGTTGCTTTAGAGCCAAAGACTTTGTGAAAGACTTGGTCCCGTGTACGTGAAAAGACAAGGCATATATAAAGTAAAGGGACAACGTAATTTTGTTATGGTGAAGCAAAGTCTCACCTACCAAAGAACAAATTTGAAAAAGACACTGAAAAGTTATTTAGTCCCCCTTGGGAAGGATTTTCCAAGGAAATCTTGCCTAGATAAAAGACAGCACAGAGAAATTCACAGTCAAAGCTTGGATCCATCTCGCTGATGTGACAGCCACTCAAGGGGAGGTGAACATTAAACAGACTGTCTTCATTCAAACACTGGTCCCCGCAGAAACACAGAATATGTTCAGATTCCACTAAGCAGCAGCACTGCTTACTGGTTAGTACATTTTATTTAGAAGGAATAACTTGCAGTTTGACGACTGGGAAAAGACAAGGCGGTGATCTCCTGCCAGATGGTGCATTGAAATAACATTTTATGTTTCATTAAGGGTGTTCTTAGCCTAAGTTGAGATTTATCACTGCATTTCAGTTTCAGTACGCATAAAGGGTGAGATTTTTCTGCAAAACCAGACTGAGAACTTCATCTCCTTGTCTAGGTAGATCTTGCAGAAGCAATTTTGTGCTTGGTGAGAATGTCCCTGGAGAAAGGAGGAACTGGGCGGTTCTACTCTCAGTGAGTCATCTCAGCTTCCACACCAGAAGATACCAGGTGTGCAAGTCCTATTTAAGCAATCTACTTACATGCAAAGCAAGCAGATCTGATAAGAGGTTGCCATAAGAAAATACCTCCACTGATCTCTGCATTAGGATCACTAATTCTTTGCCAGGCATTTGAAAACCGCCCCAGCTTGCGTCCAGTGCTTGTGGAATCAAAGTGCATGCAGTCACTGCTGCTAGAAGGCGGAAAAGTAGAAGAGAAATCCTTGTCTGGAAAAAGTTTGACACAGGGAATGGGGAAATGCAGTCAGTAGGTAACTGTAGAGATAAAAGGCCAATTTTTGCATTTTTACAAAATTGAGTTGAAGACAGACCAATAGGTAAGTGTCATGATGAAAAGAGAATTACGTTGTGGATGCCTGACACTTACCCCTTTCCTACAGAAATAAGAAAAGCTTCTGTAGTTTTCCTTATAAAATATCAATGGGCTTCACTGGTATCTGTGCTGAATCTTAAGTGTCACAACAGACAGCATGAGAAAATACCAAAAAGAGAAGTCTAATTCTAAGCCTGCACTCTCCACAGATGAGCTGCTAAGCTACTTAATGGGGAAGACTGTATACAGTCTATACCCAGTAAGGAAGACACTGAGGTCTGGTACCATGAAAGCAGACTGCTTACACTTGGACTCCATCTCTGTGATGCCAACCTCACTAGCCAACATATTTAATGCAATTATCCATTGCACATAGTGGGCACAGACAGTGGAGACTTGGGGAAAGATGTGATAGGATCAAACAAAAAGAAACACACAGAATAATTTCATTCTAAGGAAACAGAATAAGCCAGTGTCTCACAAGAGAGCGAGCAAGAGAGTGCACAATACGCTGAGGGATATAAACTAAAACAAATCAAGACCCCCTAAAGACAGAGGAACTTGGAGCCTAAGAACTGCATCAGGAGGAATGAATTTTACATGCAGATAAAGACATTAGTAGTCACATGCACTCTAGTAAACAGCAGGAAGAAAATGCAAGGCAGGATGTCAGTGATGGAGATGCATCAAGAAGGGACAAAAGCATATTGTTGAGGAAAAAGGAAGAATTAAACACACTAGATTTAAGAACATTCAATTAAAGTTCCGTTGAATTAAAATACTCCAAACAAGTTTCCAGCACTCAAATGTAGGTGGAGAGATCTCCCTAACATATAATAAAGATCTAAATGGAAATTCAGATAGAAATTTAAGCACAGACTTCCATCTATCCGAGTAAGACATTTTCATTTTGATTCACCTCTATGTCCAATATAATTGCTATAGCAGGAAATTGTTAGCAATGTGCTTGGAGGGGGGAAAAAAAGGTAAAATAAAACATGAAATACTCGCATGCTAAAATAATACCTTCACAAATTTAGCTTCAAAACAGGACTAATGGGGAATTTAAAATTTGATCCAATTTTACTCTGTGAGTGACAGAAGACCCCCAAAATTATTTAGGCCTTTTTTTTTTTTTTTTGGTTTTGTTTTCTTTTTTTAAAGATGAAGCTGGAGAATACATAAAGTGCTAGTGAACCATTAAGTCTTAATCAAGTATTATACAGGCAGATTCACTGCACTGTGAAGCTAATACAGAAACTATACCTAAGTTAATACAGAAACATTATCCATAATATACGCCTATTTTTTCAAATGCCTCATGTCATACTGATGTTTTTAAATTATGATAGTTGTCTCAATGCCATTCACTTTTCAGACCTTATAAAGACATATCAAATGAGATGGAGTATCTGTAGTACATCTTCCAACAGCTCAAATAAGATGAACAATTCATTGCACACAATTCATTATGCATTCAAGATAGATAAAAAAGTGAGCTTAAAATATAACACTTGCTTTTAGATGCTGTACTTTTCTTAAAGAAAAACAGCTATCTGAAAAATTTTACGTATTTCAGTTATTTCACAGCAAGTCATAAGATGCTAGCCATAAAGAACTAGGACAACCCAGAAGGAAAACAGGATGAAAAGGAAGAAAACAACAGGTCTAAAACGTACTCTCACAAAAAAGGTTATTCAGGTAAACCAGGGTCCTCCATCACTTTTGGAAGAGGGTCTCTTTCAGCGTGGCAGAAAGCACATTGGTTTACCTACCTTACAATGAAAGGAAGACAACAAATGCAGAATTATGGTTTCCGTGATAAGCTTCTACCCGCAATAAAGATATAAAACCTGTTGTGCTACTTATTGCGTATAATAAAGAAAACTCTTTCAGAAACACAGAATTCTTTCACAGAATTGTTTAGTTTGGAAATGACCTTTGGAGATCACCTCGTCTAACCATCCCTGATCAAAGCGTCTGGATCATGTCGTCCAGGCCCATGACCAGTTGGGTTTTGAGCATCTCCAAGGATGGAGAGTTCACAACCTCTGGGCAATCTGTGCCAGTGCTCAGTCATCTGCAGAGTAATGTGTGTTTTAATTTGTGCCTTCTTCCTCTTATCTTGCCCCTGGGAGAAGTCTGAGTACTCCCAGGTACCAACAAAAGTCTGGCTCTGTCTCCTTTACTCCCTCCCATCAGGTATTTATATACATTGATAAGACTCCAGGTATTATATGACCAGGTATCCCAGGTACTTATATACATTGATAAGATCCTCCTTGAGGATCTTACATACATTGACAAAATAAGCCTTCTCTTCTCTGGGCTAAGAAGTTCACGCCCTTGCAGCCTCTCCTCATGTCAGATGCTTCAGCCCCTTAATCATCTTTGCACCCCTGCACTGGACTCACCCAGTAAGTCTGTATCTTTCTTGCAAAGGGGAATCCACAACTTCACACAGATGTTCACCTTCAACATTTGAGTAGAGAGGAAGGATCACCTCCATCAAAATGCTGGCAATGTTTTTCTTAACAAGGCCCAGTATAGCATTGACCTTTTTTGCCCACAAGGCTGCATTGCCAGTTCAGAGTCAGCTTCCTGTCCACCAGGACCCCAAGGTCCTTCTCATCAGATCTAAATCTTTATCTATTTACATATATTTATGTATTTAACCTTCTTTTAAGAGAATCATAGAATCATAGAATCATTTGATTGGAAAAGACCTTTAGGATTGTCAAGTCCAACCATACCTGTCCACTACTAAGCCAGGTCCCTAATTACCTCATCTACCTGGCTTTTAAATAAAATACCTCCTGGGATGGCGACTCAACCACTTCCCTGGGCAGCCCGACCCAATGCTTGACAACCCTGTTGGTGAAGAAATGTTTCCTAATATCCAGTCAAAGGCTCCCCTGACGCAACTTCAGGTCATTTCCTCTTGTCATATTGCCCATCACCAGGGAGAAGAAACCAACACCCACCTTACTACAACCTCCTTTCAGGTGGCTGTAGAGGGCAATAAGGTCTCCCCTCAGCCTCCTCTTCTCCAGGCTAAACAATCCCAGTTCCCTCAGATGCTCCTCAGAAGACTTGTGCTCCAGACCCTTCATCAGCTTTGTTGCTCTCCTCTGGACATGTTCCAGCAATGCAACGTCTTTCTTGTAGTGAGGGGCCCAAAACTGAACACAGTATTCAAGGTGTGGCCTCACCAGCACCGAGTACAGGGGCACAATCACTTCCCTACTCCTGCTGGCCACACTATTTTTGATACAGGCCAGGATGCCATTGGCCTTCTTGGCCACCTGGGCACACTCCTGGCTCATATTCAGCCGGCTGTCAACCAGTACCCCCAGGTCTTTTTCCACCAGGCAGCTTTCCAGCCACTCTTCCCCAAGCCTGTAGCGTTGCATGGGGTTGTTGTGACCCAAGTGCAGGACCCGGCACTTGGCCTTGTTGAACCTTATACAGTTGGCAGCGGCCCATTGATCCAGCCTGTCCAGATGCCTCTATAAAGCCTTCCTACCCTGAAGCAGATCAACACTTCCACCCAGCTTAGTGTCACCTGCAAACTTGCTGAGCTGGGTGGAAGTTCTTTTAAGAGAACTGCATTAGGACACAGAAAGTCCTTTAAAATCAAGATGAGAAACGTGAACCTGAGATGATCTAGAAACTCGAGGCCTGGTCTAATGAAGGTGCTGTGATGGACATACACAGAGAGAATGTGCTTAAATGAAGATGTTTTGCATTTGTTTTTATGTGTAAGTACACACATTCAGTAATAAGAACTCTTTTGAAAAGTGGACTGACTGAAGATGTGCCGTTTACGCAAATTCAAAAATGGACCGACTGAAGATGTGCAGTTTATGTCAAATATTCTAGAAACCTGCTGATTCCATAATATCTTGTGAATTTATATTTAATTGCACATACGTAATGCATTGGTTTGTTACTGGCAGAAGAAAAAAACAAACCATATTCTATAGACACTCATGATTTGTAAAACAGCAAGTACTAAGAATTATCCCTTCAAAATTTAAGCTCTCCATGTTCTGAAAGACATTAATAGGTTTTAAAACATAGTCTCAAATATTATGCTCCAGATTTTACAAACTGAAAGCAGAAAAATACCCCAAATCCCATAGCTCCCACTATTAAAGACTGTTATTACTTGAAAGGAGGAGTGCTGCATGTTACCTGTTCTAACAGCTGTGGTTTTAAAATGCAAAGTTATTTAAGTTAAAACTTCTTGAAATGCTGAATGAAGTAGAAATTGCCCCTTGCATCATATTAATGTTGCTTCCCGAAAAACATTCACTACCATCTAGTACCAAATTTCCCCTCCTCAAAAAAACCATTTGGTATTTCAACAAGTATACCACAGTATAAACAAACCGCACATGCAGCTGAACACCTGTTCCACAGGTTTATCTCATCTGAGAAGTGTCTGAGCTTGACTTCTGGATATTTAACAGGTTTTATTTCTGTTAACTGTGTCATCAAAACATTGCTGCCAAAATGGAAATCCGGTCTTTTGACTACTCACCCACACCCAAATCTCAAGACCAAAAATTGAGTTTTTAGGAGAATTAAGACTATTTAACAGCTTAAAAAAAGAAATCAACATTTTTAATGACACGATTGGTTTATGTTTAACTTAAAGTGTAATACATACTTCACCAGATCTATCCTGTTGTTGATTGCAGCCCAGTGGAGAAGTGTTACGTTTTCTTTGTCTGGTTGTCGTACATCATAACCTGCTTCCACCAACTCTCTACATCGTTCGTATATTCCATACCTTGAAGAAGAAAGTAAGATTTTTCAAAGTTGCTAACTTGGATAAAAATGCATTCGGCAAATGCCATACTTATGGTCACAATACAAAAACTTCAACAGAAAAGAAATGAAGCAGAAACATTACTTTCTGTTTCTATATGATTACAGATCTCTTGCACCAAGAAGTTTCCACTGGCAGAAGCTATATTAACCAATTCAAGATTTTACAGAAAACTTGTCCCCAAAGCAAGATATACAGTAGAGCAAGGGAAAATATAGTTAAGTATTAAACCAAGTATCAATAAAACTCCTCTTCACAGAGACTCCACTACGTTTGTTTCTCCCACCTCTGTTCTCCTTCCTTTCCACCTCTTGAAGACCAAGAGAACTTAGCCAACTGATTTGACAGTAACTTCCCAAAATTCTGATGACAAGATCATCAGATCAATTACAAACAGTAACAGAGCTCAAACACTTCCCATTTTTCTTCTCAGGTAACAAACAAATAGCAATTTGTCTGATATAAGTTAGTATCATCTACTTTTTTATACCACTCCAAAATTCTGTACTTTGATATAAAATTAATTATTTCATTAAAGATGACTATTAATTGTGAGCTACCATCATTTGAAAAAAAATTTGCATACATTTTGAAAGTTGAAACAATTCAGGAAGCATAAACATCAATTAGGCATCTAATGTGGGACTAACTCCAACACTAAATAATGTGTCTTGATGCTTATACTGTTTTACCACCTATTTTTAGCGGCAATAAAAGAAATGCAGAAAGGCAAGTAAAGATTACATTTCAATGCCTGTACAACCCACAGGGATTTCTCAAGTCTCAAGGAGAAGACTGATGTGTGGGCAAACCCTGAAATCAAGATCAATGACTTCTGACATCCAACTTCTGCTAGAGCAGAATGTTAACAGCCTCTCAAAGTTGGAATTGAAGCAAGTTTTCCTTATGCTGCTCCTATGTTCTACTTCCTGCAGAAGAGAAAGCCTTAATGCTTCTTTGTTCCATTTGATCAGCTTGATGCCAAGACCTTTTTTCCAGGGTAGTTACTCTTTATTTCACGTATGTGAATGGATCCTCAATCTGGACAGTGCTCCCATAGTGAAGCCTCAAATCACTCAAATCAACAAACCTCAGAAATGCCTTCTTATCACAGGCTTGAAACACATAAATTAGTTGGACGCTATCAAAAAAAGGAGTACTAGACATAACAGCCTACTTAGATCATGTTGTTTTCAATTTCTTAGGAAAGCTGCACTTGAAATTATGAAAAATGCTAGAAATTGCTGTCATACCTATAATCTTTCCAAACATTACAGAAGATCAGAACAAAGACTATTGCGTGCAGTACATACTAATTGGCAACAGGCCTGTAAAATTTGGTCCCTCAGACAAAGTAAAAAAGCAGCAGTCATGAATAATTTTAACGACAAAGCTTTGGTTTTAATCAGTTGGAGGAGGAGGTGGGAGAGAGGAGAGGTTTGCTTTACGAAGACTTAAAAATACGCAACCAGCTAGACAAGATACACATACTCAGACACACATAACTGCCAGGAAAACTGATAAGGTTCCAAGTCTGGCCAATCTTCAGGCACGCTGTCTCCCAAATCCCAGTCCAGACCAGCGGTGTGGCCTGACGAGTGCCTGTTCAAATGGCCTAACACGTACCATTCCTGACTTTCCCACCCCCAGCTGAAAGGGTCACTGAAATAAGTTAGGATTACTAGAGGCAGGTCAGCCAAGGAGGAGTGAGAAGAGACAGTAGATGAGATGGGGAAAAGGAGGACTTTGGAAAGCAAGACAGCAACTTCTGATCTGACTACAGACTACAGCACTACAACATCACAATGGGCATATTAAAATATCTGGAGATAACCTGGAAAGTGATTCACATAGCATAGCAAAATACCCTTTTCTGACAAGTTGTTCTACTCTGGTCAGCTTTTATGACAACCTTTCCTCCTGCAGACAAGCCTGCTGCCTTCGTTAAACAACTATCTGAAGCTATAATGTAAAAAATTACTGACCTACAGCCCTGCTATTAGGTTTAACAATCACCAGCTAAAAGAATTGTACTGCCTAGGGGTGAGCTGAGCTGACTCTCATCCTGCTTAATTAAGTAGTACTACACAACAAGCAGAAATTATATTAATAAAATATCCTAAGTTATTGGAAAGCTACAAAGAACACAATAATGCTAACTTCTATACAGTGTAAGAGGCAATCATGTAAAGCTTTCATGCAATAGATTAGGATTTTCCTTACATGTGCTGGTTTTGGCTGGGATCAAGTTGGCCTTCTCCATAGTAGCTCCTACAAGGCTATGTTTTGGATTTGTGGGCAAAACAGCATTGATAACACAGAGATGCTTTAGCTGTTGCTGAGCAATGCTTACACAGGATCAAAGCCTTTTCTGCTTCTCACCCCACCAGCAAGGAGGCTGGGGGTGCACAAGAGGCTGGGAGGGAACACAGCTGGGACAGCTGACCCCAACTGACCAAAAGGATATTGCACACTCTATGATGTCATGCTCAGCATATAAAGCTGTGGGAAGGAGGAAGGGGGACATTTGGAGTGATGGCATTTGTCTTCCCCAGTAACCGTTACGCATGGAGCCCTGCTTTCCTGGAGATGGCTGAACCCCTGCCTGCCAGTGGGAAGCAGCGAATAAATTCCTTTTGCTTTGCTTGCATGCACAGCTTTTGCTTTACCTATTAAACTGTCTTTATCTCAACCCATGAGTTCTCACTTTTACCCTTCTAATTCATATCCCCATCCCACTGGAGGGGGAGTGAGCAAACAGCTACGTGGGGATCAGCTGCCTACTGGTGTTAAACCACATTACTATTGGTCAGCTATGGTAAACTGTACAAATTATTTAGATGAGTATCCTACCAAATTAATGACACAACACAAAATTAACCTCCTTGAAAGTAACCTCTGATACCTAGTCAAGTTTTTGTTAAACCATGCTACCAAAACAGGTATAACCACGAAGCACTGTCTCAGTCTTTGGGGGGGGGTGTTCGTTCTTAGTGGATTGGAGGGGGGGAATGGATGGACAGGGGAACAGGGAGGGACGGGGGGGGTTTGTTGGTTTTTTCTTTTTTTTTTATATAATGTAAATCTCTAGCCTTAGAGAAAACATGATGCTGCTTTCTCAACAACTATGCTCAAGAGATATGAAAATGAAGGTGAGCTGTGGCAAGCACGTGAATCGACTGCAGCCTGTTGAGGCAGAACGCTGTTGCCAGTGCCCCTGCAGAAGCCCTGCGAGATTGCTCTAATTATGCCCCACTAATGTTTACAAATACCACCCTCTAGAATTCACCCATACACTGCCATGAGGCCCTAGGCAAAGGCTACTGCATGGGTTCAGATACAATGAGGAGTAGTAGGAATGGATCCCTTCTCCAGGCTTGGTATCATAGGCTTTCCCTCCTCCCCCCTGAAAGGCAAACTGCAAATCACAGGTACTTCCCACCACTTGGCCACAAAACAAATCATGAAGTTCTGCAATACATCAGAAGAGCCTTCCCAGGAAATCACAACGCTATCCAAAAGTTAAACTGAGAATAAGGTATATAGCAATTATTTATTTAAGTCAAAATCAGTTTGTCTGTTTCTAGCAATTTATTTTGGTATCTTGAACTCAGTCATAACTGATCTCAAAAGATGTAACACACAAGATACAATTTAATAACTCTTCAATTTCGTAAATTGTCACAAGAGGACTCAAGGATCTAGACAGACAAAATCTGCCTGGCAAAAAACATTAGGAGTTTACAACAATTTGTTCCTCTTCCTGGAAACAGCAGGCTCTCTGCAATTAAATAAAAAACTGAATCTGATGCAGTCATGGTTTCTTGAGCTCTGTCCTAGAAATGCAGCATTCTTCTCTCACGTACTACCTACAGTCTTCTTCCACCAATTTGCTGCAGTTGACTTCACCTTGCCTTCTCCAAAGGTCATGACGCACTGTTAGATTACAAAATGAGAAAGTCACCTATTTCAGACTCAGCATAATCCTGCTCATAAAGTTGTTATAAAGGGCTCTAATGCTCTTCAAGAAAGAGGAATGGAGGAAAAGATTCAAATCCTCACAAGAGACTGATGTATTAACCTAACAAATTTTCAGCATCTGGGTGAATTCTAGAGGGTGATACTGTAAACATCAACATGGAGCATAATTAAAGCAAACTATTGAGCTTACCTGGTTCTGAAAGAAATAGGACTAGTCCTTCCAGGGAAAAAATACCATTGTGCAAGCTCATTTGACTATCACAGTCTCCAAACCATTTCGGTAACCTGTAGCATTTTTATTTGTCATCGCAGGTTAAAGATATTCTGAATTTAATACTTTCAAAAATAGTATCCTAGAAGCCTTTTGCATTTTAAATACGCAATCCATTTTTTAATCTTTCGTCTGCAAGCACATCAACTCTTGGAAATAGCCCTTGCCAGCTTTGCTGCATGAATAACATAAAATTTGGCCACAATACTAGGAAGGAATCTCTCTTCAGTGAGCACATCACCATGCCAACAGACAGTAGGTAAGCCAGGAGCTCACTCCCTCATCTTGCTATCATTGTAACTCCAATCAAAGCTGCTGTAACTGGAAATGTAATTAGTGGAAAAATGATCCTTTTTTATCTTTTGAAGTCTCATTCCCATGAACAATGGTGTTTAAATACTAACACAGCCTTTCATATGTTCTCATGTTTTTTGTGTTAAACAGTAAGACAGTTTTGTTTTCAACAGCAAAAGGATAACTCAAGAGCTGCTTAATGAACTGCTAAGAGTGATGTTGAGAGACAACAGAAATTCAGCTCTTGCATATATTCCAAAGCCTCAAATTGTCTAGACAGTTATGGCTATATTACTAGTGTGGTTAAAAACCCACCCTTCTATGTGAACTTCAGACACATTTCACTTTCAGCAATATAATCAAACTTCACAGGCACAAATGACCAGGCATAAAAAACGCACGCTGCTGTCACGGTCTGCCCATCCTCTCCTGTGAATAGCTGAAAAAAGCCAGGAGTAATTGTCACCTTGGCGAACCCTCACCAATTTGAATTATTCCATATGCATCCTATTTTTTCTTATCAGCTTCCCTATAAATGATGAGAAATGGTGAGGAAAAAAGCATGTTCTCAAATGCATCCAACAAATTTTTTTCCCCCCCCCGAGTAAGACTCAGCATATTTCATATCTCGTGCTGCACTATTTCACAACACACACAACATTTTGGATGATCTCAGCAACTAAAACTAACAGAAAAGTTAATATTGCAATAGTGAAATCGTAACTCCTGAGCACAGGGAAGTCACAAAAGCACTTGTTAATGTCATTAATGTTCAATACCCATGTTCATAATGGTTATTTAACATACTTTCAGCATAGCTGGAATTTGCTCAAGATCAGTACAAGTGATTGTTGCCTATTCACTCTCAGCAGAAGTGAAAATCACAGTGCAAGGATTGATGTGTTTCAGACTTTGCTTTCCTAGTCATAACCCATCATATACTTTTCTACCTGTGAACGTTAGCTACTTTTCCATAGTTTCATAGCTTAAAAAATTTAAAACAAAAAAAAAAGCAGCAACTTTAAGTTATTATGTTAACACAGTACCCTTCCCAAGACATCAAGTTATGACTTGGATAATGCAGGGCTACTGGTGCCAGAAGAGATAGAAATAAACATACCCAACATACATCCATTAAATTTCACTTTTAAATCACTTAAAACTTCTTTTACAAGACTCCATTACCTTGCAGCTCCTGTGAGAGCAACTGAATGGTATCACAGAGGAATGAAAACAGTACACAGCCCACCCTCTGATTTTCTAGAGGTGGAAAGCTTTTCTATGCAGTTGTAAGTGAAATACTTACTAAGTATTAGTATGCAATATTCCTCCATTGCAGGCAAGAATGAATGATTTTTTTACTACTGCACATACAGGTGGCCTGCTTCTGCTTTCAGAAACACAGTGGAAAACTTAGAGGAATTAAACTGAATTTTGCTATAACTGAATACAGAACGTCAAGAGATTACACACACATTGTAACATCTGCAAGATGAAGGGCTAAGACACTACTACTTTTAACACTACCTAGATGCCCTTAGATATGTTTGTAAAAAAGCCAGTGGAAAGTGTCCTTCATATCAATAGATATTAAAACCAAACCCTATGATTTTTACTCCAGCACAAGTTTCAGCGAAATAAACAGAGACATAGACTGGTTTTTGGTACAGAGCATGCCTTGGCCCCCATGTCTGTGGGAGAATTTATCAGGAACATAATAGGGGAAAAACACAAATACTGATAAACTCTTTGCAATAACAACATCAGCTGAAGCTCACTTTTCTATACAAAGTCTTAATTTGATTGTAAGAGGTTATTAGATTTGTAGCTCATAGTGTATGAGCATGTTAATTTAATGAGTGCCCAACCTACAGACTGAGAAGGTAAAGCACATGAACTGTTCAACAAGATACAAACCAACAAATACTTCTGGAAAAATGCGTGGGGCTTGGAAGCTCTTATTTTCCCTTGCTAAAAAACATAAAAGGAAACGCATTATTTTACTAACATAATTTTATTTCTCTGTAATCAAGTGCCAATAAAGGCAAGACCTCAAAACAGAATTCTACAGTCAAACAGCATAAATGAAGTACAGATGAGTTTTAAACCTTTTCACCCCATTTTTCATCATGATCTTTAAGGAACTATGTTGCCCATTTTCACGTATGTTGCAACAACAATATAACTAGTTATTTTCACAGGAGAAACTTTTAATAATGCAGCACACTGAATCCTGTAAGAACAACGATCATGAAAAAAAAAGGACTGACTAGCAACTTGTATGACATGACTACCTGCTTCCTGCTTGGATTATCCCCAATTTAGCAGCAAGCAATTCTGTGCTATGGTGAAATGCACCTTACACCTGTTAAGGAGGCTACAATTTAAGTGGTCTTACATGAATTATCACATAATTTTGGATGACAGATCAGTTTGACTTTTTTTTTTTTAAACAGAGGAAGATAGCCAATTATAATAATAAAATTGTGTATCAGATCCATTCTTGAGACAAACAATTTCATTTAACTAATGGTAAGCACCCCAGCTACCATTTGACTGTATCACACTAAAAAAGCTGTTATATTGTTCTGGGGAAGTTTTTAAGTGTTCTGAAAAAAAATAAGGGTTCCACCAATTTCATGCTGAATGCTACTTGTCTGGACTTGGAAAAAACCCCACCCAAACTAAGAGGCTGAAAATAATTCTTATTCTATTTGGCTACATTTTGCTTGAACTTACTGAGCTGCTTGGGGAGGGGAGTTCTGGGAGATAGAGGAGTGGCCCTTTTTTAGAAAACTTTTTGTGGCATCTTACTCACATTAGCACTGAACTAAAAAGTAAACAAAATCAGCAGGTATTTTAATCTGAGTGAATATTGATTTTTGAGGACAAGTGGTAGAGGATAAGATCACCTATTTTTCATACATATAAAAGAGAGGTGAATATCTACATAATTTTAATAGGAACTGTATATCTTAAATATCACTGAATTAATACACTTTATGTTACTGCAAGCCTTATATTTGGTGGGTTTACTTCCTGCCTTAAATGTCAGAAATTTCTCCCTTTAAGACAACTGTTTTGTACAACATGGCTTTTAAATCCTAGTAAATACTTAAAATAAAGACGAGTTTTCTTTCTAGTCAGGGAAGTGCTGTCTGGATACTACAACTTGATCATATACCCATGCTGGTAGTCTCCCTTCCCTGTGGTATCAACAATTAGGGCTATGATATGAAACTATAGTCCCCTCTGGTGAGATGTCATCCTCTCTGTAAATCACATCTCACCATGGCTGTGAGGGCACATAACCGATAACTCACAGCCCTGTTGATTCTTGTTTGAGGAAACCAGGGAAGTCTTATAATTCAGCTGAAAGCATCAATCAGCCTAAATTTGAGGGCTAAGGGGGACAAACGTGTTTTAGGATTTCAAACATGCAGTGAGCATACAAGAATGGAAGCAGGTAACTCGCAAAACTACTCCCACTGTCATGTTTCCATGCCTTTAAGAAGCAGCTAGTTTAATGCTATGCCCATATTTTAATTTATAAAAATCCCCTAATATGAAGATTATAGGTTGTAGTATTATTACAAATACAGTTCTCCTTCCATTTTATGCAAATAAAAAAATCCATTTTACTGGTTTTTAACTAATACAGACACAGACAAATCTAACACTCAAAAATAAACTTACTGTGTGGCTTTGACAATGTCCCAAGTGCTGTAATCATCAATGTGGCTTTTCCGTCCAAGGGATTCACTATATCCATGGTTGTAATGGCTTTGAGGCTTTATTTCCTAAAAAAGACAAACTTACTATTAGAAAAACCAAAATCAGCATTATTAAAGTTTCTCATAAAAAACCAAAAACAAAAACCAAATATCCCTATAAGCAAAACTACAACTAGCACCCAGTTCAATATACTGTAAAGCTACCTAAATCGGAGGTGGTAAGCTGACTGGCCACATTTCTACATTTTGCAAAGCAGGCCACTATACTCCCTACCATAGATTTCAAACACCTTCCAGAAAGCACTACTTGCAATAGCAGAGTTCTGCCAAATCCTATGCCGGGTTATTTTTTAGAATGCTAATAAAAAGCTACAGCATTTTTTTGTTTGTTTGGGGTTTTTTTTGTTGCTGTTTTTATAAATGCAATATAGTATAGCTAAAGAAAGCTATTGGCCATCAACTGGCAAAGTCTCACCCTGCTACTACAAATAAATGTTATATTTAAAATACCATAGTCAAATACCTTCTAGAAAATAAATAAATGGGAATGATTAATACCAATGACTAGAACCTACTGATACTGTATTGATTTTTCAACCCCAGTCCCAGCTTCAGAGACGATCTATGTATGTTTAACCTATGGGTCTCAGAAATAAATGGCATGACCATGGCATGTTCTTCACCAGATACAGCTCCCTACAAACTTCATTCTTTTGATGAAGGCCAACACTTCAACCCTTAATGCTTCCCTTGGTATAATTTATATTAAAATACTGTATTGATGGATCACTAGGGCAGCAACATACCATTTTTCTTTACAAACTGCACGCAAGTATGTGGAAGTCATCTCAGCAAGTTGAAATTGAATGATAAATTTTATACCGCTTCTAGACAATTTTCCATTTGTTACAAATACTATAGCTGATTGCCTCTATCAACCATGCAATTCAGCATAGCTACATAAAAAAGTGTGAGAACTGGAACAGTGAAGCAAAAAAAGAAGCAAACTCTCAAAGTTCTAAAAATGCATTTCTATTTATTTTATTAAAATGGGTTATTTAGATTTATTGTTACTCAGATTTCCCCAACATACAGTTCCGTGAGCAGAAGTTTTGTTTCTTTAATCTATACCTGGAAATACTTTTAAACACCTTATGAAAGGTGTTTAATTAAGATTCCAAATTCCACTTAGTTGTTAAAATGAGTGATCAACTCTTTCATAATTATACTAGACAGATTTTCTTTTTTTTTAAATAAAGATATCCCGAGTCAAGACAACCATGATATAAGACACGTAACCATAATGAGGATTCGCAGTCACAAATCCCCACCACCTTCTCACCCAAGAGGCAAATGTTGCCCCCCTAGCTTCAGTGACAAAGAGACATATTAGGGCTAGGAAGACTTCCTATTGCTAAAATGAGCAGGTCTCCCCTTTCTCACATTCTCTCAGCTGTGCAGTATTTTCTGCAAAAGGAGCTATCGGTCACAGTGAGAAGCATCAGTAACTTCTTACTGTGTCCAGTTGTGGCTAGTCAGCCAAAGTGTTTTCTAGCTTCCTGTGAGAACATTAACCAGATCTCTGCTGACTTCAGTGGGAGTTTAAACACTGAGCTTGCATACAGACAAGTAAACCCTGTCCTCTGACTCTCCTAATCTGGAATTTACTCATCTTGGCTGCATAAACACAATGCCTTCCCAATAGCTGGATGCCGGTAATCAAATCAGTCATTACAACTTCTTCTCATTAAAGTTATTTTAAAATATATTTCTAGGCTAAAACTATTACCTGCATTATGCAACTCAGAGAGATAAAAAGACTTAAATCTGAAAAAACACGTTTTAAACCTCTATTTCCAGACTTCAACATAATGAAGTGCCACTTAGGCAGAAGTCTAAAAACTGATACCAGCTATAACCTTGGAGTAAACTATAAAGAAGGTAGTCTAGTTGCAAAGCCTAAAACTCTCAGTACAAATTTCAAAACCAAGCAACTTCAGTAGAGCATGTTTGTATTTGTTACATACAATGTACCTATTTCAGACAGGGGAAAAAAACCCTCAAATTAAGACAAATTCTAATGCATTAAATATATTTTGTAGTACTAAATTATACTATAGTTATTTATATAGTTAGAACATTTATGACATTTTATACATTAAAAAACCTTTCAAGAATTTAAACTGTTTGGAGCTTTAAAACCAGAACATAGTAACACTGAGAACTAGCGCAGTAAAAATCTTAATTTAAAAACAGATTTATTCTTATGCATAGACTTTTCTGAAGAAAGTTTTTCAATTCCATGCAGTATCTAAATGATCAGCAGAGTACATCTTTTCTTGGCCACAATGTTATTTTGTGGCATTCAATTTTTTTTTCTAAGCCTGAAAAACTAACTAGGTTAACCAGTTAAGCATTGCCAGCCCAGCAGGAAGGCTGCTCTGTTGCCATCTCTACAGGAGAGACAACCTAAAAGCGTAACAAGGCATCTGCTGCCATCCAAATCACACGTTACAACCAATTCTCTTACTACTCAGAAACACAGCTTCACTTTGTATTTGAAGAAGGCAACAGCTTAACCAAAACTTTTTTTCCCAGCTACTAGATAAGCCAGAATGTTATCTGGGATAAAGATGCTGAAAAAAATACCAGAGTACATTACAATTAAAAAAAAAAAACAACCAAAAAAACCACCCGCAAAATAAAAGAGAAGGCTAAAATCATTATTTTGTGCCACATGATTTTCTCCTTTCCATCATATTGGAGAAAAAAAGCAGGATTTATACCATCTCTGTTCACCAATTATACCACCACACAATTGCAGGATTTTATGTATCAAATTGGGATGCTCAGACCCTGAAAAGCTGAAGGGTAAGTCAAGTGGGCAGAGGCCAGAACAAAACCCGCCAGGGCAGGTTTAGGTTTGCCAGGGCAGGTTTACGTTCAACATTAGGAAAAAATTTATTGACAGAAAGGGTTGTCAAGCACTGGAACGGGCTGCCCAGGGAAGGGGTCGAGTCCCCATCCCTGGAGGTATTTAAAAGCCGGGCAGACGAGGTGCTTAGGGAGATGGTTTAGTGGTGGGATAGCAGGGTTAGGTTAACAGTTGGACTTGACAATCTTAAAGGTCTTTTCCAACCTAAGGGATTCTACGATTCTATGAAAAGAAATTGACTGTCCTGGAGCACCCTGGTGAGCAGATAGTAGTTCAATTATTTCTTAGCCTTCCACAGCTGCTGGAAGGGAGGGGGGGAGGAATCTTTCTTGTTCCCTAACAATTATTAAAAGCAAACTGAGAAACTTGGGTTATTTTTCAGGCAGATGTTAAATTACCCAGGAACACTATTTCTCTTAAGCTGCATTTTACTGACCACTTCAAGCACACAAACCAGGCTTCTGTTCCCTTGAGCCCGCACTAGCCAGTCAAGAGAGCTGCCCATTTACAAGCAGTGTAAATTTATGTCAGCCTAAAGCAACCATGAAGCCACAGCCTTGTGATACTAATGCTTTCACAAAAAGGTTTACGGGATTACAGCAAAAATCTTACTTATTAATTATTAACCACATAAATTCAAAAAAGCGAGAGATGATATTCCTTAGCCCCTCCTACAACTTATCTGCTACTTCTACTAAGGACTTGAAGGTAATGACAGTACCCTTGACTTTTTAAAAAATACCATTTTTAATCTCCTTTTGTACTGACAGAGTCTCTGAACTACCTTTTTTATCCCGAAACTTTCAAATTTTGTTACATTAATGCAAAAGAGCTGAAGGGATTAAAAAGTTAGATTTGAGGTGATGGCAAATATGACTGCCTGACATAAACCGAGCAAGCGAGAAATAGTTCTTTCCTTCTTTGCCCCCAGTACATACATTAGCAGTTACAATCCATTTGTTTCATACAAAGACTCACTACAAATATAAACTCCAAGTGAACCTCGTGATTTAATAAGAGAGCTGAGTTTGTATTTTACATTTAAGCACAGTTGAAACAATCCCTATAATTCTCCCTATAAATCTGAAAGGTCTACGAATGTCACAGCCTCCAACATCATACAAGAGTCTTCTAAGCACAGCAGTAAACTGTGGAAAAAAAGATGACTTTAGATTTGCCTGAAAAGAAGATACAAACACTGCTCATTTGGGAAGCAAATAATTTAAGACAAATTCCAGGAAAGCATATTGAATCTGAATCCTCCCTCAATACAGTCAGTTCTCTGCAGCCTGGACACAGATTTCCCAAGCTCGGAGTCAAAATTTATTACTTAGTACTATCTATGCAACTTGAGAGTTGCATGTTGGCTCATAGCAAGCATGCTGGCTACCACCAGTGCCGTTCTACATGACATAACTCTTACCTGGCATTGCAAGTGCCTAGTTTATGGCTGTGATCTGCAGAGTAACTTTTGGGTTCCTAAGTCAACAAGCTGCCAGGAATCAAGACAAAAAGAGTACCTGGATTTCGTGAATCTCAGTAAATCTTGATTCACCTGGTGATAGGCGATTTGGACCAAGTCACTGCAAACAGTGCTGTGACACACTATGCTTGGCTGACAAGGCAAAATATAAGAGAGGCAAGGCAGCCTCTCTTAGAACAGAAGAAAGTCTCTTCATTCCTTAAGAATTTTTTTCAGGGTTCTGAAAATCCTGTGCAGGGTTAGGGCACAGCACTATAAATGCAGAAAAGTAATTTATCCTCGTTATTCTAGAAAGAATGATTTAGAAATAAATAATGAAAGATGAACATTAAGAGCATCTAATACGGGGTCTACATTGTTTTAGCTGGGCAAGTTCCTAGTAAACAGGAAATCAACTGATAGCCTGACATAGGAGACCATTATAAGATTTACAGCAAGTGAGTCCAAAACAGGTATCTGCTCAAGGTGTTCTCTCTGAACACAGTTAACACTTTCCTTGAACCTTCAGCTTTTGATTTTGCAGTCCCTATCAGCCCTAGGCATTTCAGAGAACAGTTTGGTTATTTACATCTCTGCTTACAAAGCCTACTAGTTTGATTAAACTTTGACTTATCTGGAAACTAAAATTGTTGTATTCACCACACTTAA